ACTGTCGGAATGTGTTGGTTCTCCGTAGACAGTAATATCCAAGCCGCCGTCTGTTCTTCGTCTTATTCTGCAATCCAGAATAAGTGATTCTCCTTGTTCATTTTCTACCTCATAAGTCAATTGGATTGCGTTTACTACTGAATTGATATTCATGAGGAAATTGTCGATATGTTCCGATTTCAACACAGTAAATGTGTCATCCACATATCGCCACCATATTTTTAGTGCAGGATTAAACGTTTGTAAAGCCATGTTTTCCCAACTATTCATAAATTTATCTGCTACGATTAGAGATATTGGAGATCCCAATGCTACTCCTTCTGTTTGTCTGTATATTTGTTCTGAAGCTTGAAGACTTTGGAGGTCAGGCATGACTGTAAGTAAGTTCTGAGTCATTATTTAGTTGACTTCTGACTGCCTTCAGTGCCATATTGATTGGTACTTTAGTATACAGACTAGTTACATAGAAGCTAACCATTTTTTGATCCTCTTCTATGTGTAGGTCATTAAGCCTAAGTTCCGTACAAGTCAGTTAGCCAGATTCAAGTTGTTCAGTAGTAGTATCTTTCTGAAATTCAATGATTTAGAAGAATGCAAACTTAGGCTTACACAAAGGAAATATTATTATTTCTCCCATGCGTTCCTAGTGGAACATAGGGCTTCAGTAGCACGTCGCCACCGCACTACTCTGTTCTCTACAGTCTTTTCAATCTGCATCCACCACTGCCCACAAGCTTTCATTTCTTCCCTCACACCATCTCCTCTATATAACCCTTACCTCAGACGCCCAACTCGTCGTTTCCCATTTGCATCCCATTCGAGAGCCTGGGTTCGCCTGACGTGTGGTGTCCCCAATCAGCCTTCTCAGTGTACGCCCAATCCAATCCATCTCCACTTTCTTCTGCATATTTGTTGGGCGATCGGTTCTTGGTTGGCTCCTTACAAGCCAGAGTTCCTTGTTGCTTATTCTTATTATTTTGGACATCTGATCTTCAGTATCGACTGAGCTGAGGCGGCAGCTGTTGATGTATGTTCGCAGTTTGTTGGAAATGGTTTTCGTAACATGCCAAGTCTCTCAACCATCACATACAAGCACTGACTTGACGTTGGTGTTGAAAATCCGGATCTTGTTCACGCTTTAGGCTGAGTGCAGTGCACTGCAGTAGATCTCCACACTGATTTCGGATTAATGAAGGCCTGTCTTGCTTTCCCGATACTGGCTTGACGTCCTCATGTGTGCCACCTGTGGTAGGTGAAAGAGACTGCTTCCTTTAGATTTCTCCCATTGACGGTGATTGGTGCTTGTTGTTGATACTGCTGTTGATTGGGTATCTTTATCACCTCTGTCTTCTCTACGTTCACCTGAAGGAAGTCCCGTCTTCCTTCGCTGTCTCGCCTCTTCTGCTAACTTGTTAATTTTTGCCTACAGATCTTCGAATTTGTCCAACATTGATATATTTCAAAGGAAACATCCGAGGATATATTTCGATAGATTGTAGGAGACAACAATGAACCTGTGAAATTTAGTTGTTTCATCTTCCTATTCCTAGATACTTAGAATTAAAGAAAATGCCGGAAGATGATAGTTAGTGAATCCAAGCGTAAGAAAGCTGTCAAACTCACGATTTTGAAATGATAATATGTCCGAGTTTGCAAACTAGAGATGAGAAAAAAGGGTTTGCTACAATGTCACAATTACCAGAAGGTAATTCATAACATTTCTTGAATTTAAGTTTGTGGAGCGTAAACCGACAGGTACATAAGCTTTAATACAGTTTCTTAAAAAAATAGTTACTGATTTTGTTAAATGAAACTAGCAAGGAACCAGTCACGGTGACCTGTACATTGTCAATTGGTGAGATCAAAGTGAACTAAACGGTAGACGGTTAGATTACGTGCTTAGAATTTAGTTCATTAGTCGTGTACCTAGACATATTTAGCTGACACAATAGAACACTTCAAACCAAAGTGACCAATTTAACCTACATATACCGGATAACGTTTCGGACATAATTTATTGTCCATATTCATATCACCTGATATGAATATGGACAATAAATTATGTCCGAAACGTTACCCAGTAAATGCTACTGTTTCACTGTGTGATATTTCTAATAAACAGACTAAAATGGAATTACACTCGACCACAGCGCCCAAGTTTTACACTTATATTAACCTACATATACTTTTCATTAGAATGTCGTTTTCTGGTGATACTTATGCCGAAGATCACAACACATGACTTTGGTTGGATAAATAGTTTTCCCTTAAGAGGATCTTAGCCGTGGTTTGGAAAACTGATACTGGATTATGATTCAAGGTGAAATGAAAGTTTGTATCGTGGAAGGATTGAAATCATCACCCGTCATTAATACCACTGGTTTCTCAAACCACAGCTATCTAGGATATTCATAGTTATAATTAGTATGTTGCTCCCCCCCCTCCCTATAATTCAGTTTGATTTGGATTGGGATAAGTCCTGGTTGAGCAGTTACTGAGATTAGGGTGAACGGACAGTGCTGTATCATGGATTTATATGACAGCGAGGTGAAACCCTTCGGTGACTGAAAAGAAGTTAAGATATGGTCAACGGTTAGGTCTCGTGACTTAGTTGGTAGAGTGCCGAGCCGATAACCTGGAAGTCCTTGATTCAAATCCTTCCGCGACCCACTTTTTTTCCTCTTGTATACCCATCCAGCATCAATATGTGGCTATTGATAGAAGTTTTGTTGAATTTACAGTTAAAAAACTACTCATATGTCAATATGGACAGTGCAATTCGTAAATAATTTTCACACTGTTCATTTGCAAAACATCGAAAATCTCTGTTACAGTGGACAAAGAAGACGATTTCCTGTGATACTGAGACAATGACTGAGACAGGCATGTATTTCAGCTGTAATATTATCCAGAACTGAAAGCGTAACAACAACTCAGTGAAAATTTAGAAGAAATAAACTCTTAAAGTCCAGTGCTCGAGGTGATATGGCTTAGAAACGATCGTAGTGGTTGAGATACAACTACCTTACTGACCCTGGTTGAGTGGTTTCATTTTCGTACGTGATCTCATAGTTATTTACATTATTTGGGAGACCAAACAACTTTGAATTAATGATGGATAGCGGCTAGCAGTGGTATACAGAACGCGCTTTTCGTCATATTTGGGACTCGTCAGCTGGATATCCCGGTCTCCTAGTGAGCGATGCAGTCCCCACTAAGACTCAGACCCAGGATCGGTCGCTTCAAACATCAGAGACTAGGAAACTCAGGCCAATCAACGACCGAATAATACAAGTGAAGAAACAGAAGACAACTCGACGAGAGGATGTTTATTACGAACAATTGGAATAATAGTGGTCACATATGGTACTCATTGCACTAACGCAGCCATTTGCAAATGTCTTCGTTTCCTCTCCGTTCCTGTCTTGATTTGCTCTTGACCGGCTCTTCATACACTCTTATCAGCAGCATCCCCTGTAATACGCCTGTGTTGTCCCCTGCGTTGTTCTTGGCAGAAACCTTACCCATTGCCGGTAATTCCCTATGATTCCTGCCACCCTCTCCATATATACTACTTATATCCGTTGTTATCAGCAACGCCCACTACACAAGTAGTTACATGAAGACTAATTTATTTTGTTTAATTAGATTAATAGGATCTTCAAGCCGATAAAGTTTATCGCTGAGGGAATACGATCTTCATCCCAGATTGATCCCAAATCATAGCTGAAGTTTCGATGCTCCTTGCTTATATGGCAGTTCCATAGATGCATTAAATTCCTTCTTAGTCCTGTTGCAATCATTGTTCACATCAATAATTTTGTCTTTTTTTTAATGCATCTCTATGTATTTCTGAATGAATTTAGAAGGATAATTATTAGAAGTGAAGTTTTTGTTAGGCTTTTCACTTGTTCATTTAGTTATTTTGACTAACTAGATGGATTCCTAACTCTGCTACTTAAAAATTTGAGTGAAGTTACCTTTACTGGTGTAGAGTGAGATGGTTTAAAGCCTAGACACCAATGAGAATGTGATAACTTTCCGTAAACACTTGGGACTAAACCATCGTCGTGTCCTCATTTTTATCTTACAACCTGACATAGCTAATTCTCGTTATTCATCTTGTCACTCCAAAGTGAATTATATCCGCATCTACAGCCCAGTTTACGTGTCTGAAGAAACCATGGATGTTTGGATTTCAGCACATTTAATGTGTCATCCACATATCTCCAACATATTTTCAGAGTATAACTAAGTGTTTTAGGATGTGTACATTCACAGCCCTCCATAAGACTGAGGATATCAGTAATCGCATTACTTCTGTTTCCGATTTTTGATATATTTTATCTTGAAATTAGAAAACTTTTAAGGTAAGAAACAACTGAGCTTCTAACATGATTTCTTTAATTAGTACCCTAGTTCTATGATTGAGCTCAGGATTATCGTCAATTTCATTTCTGACAGCTTCCAAAATCGTATATTATTATACAAACCTATTCCACCAAAAATAACCACAGTTTCATCCTATTCAATACAAATATAATATCATAGTGAATAAAACGTAAGGATTAGGCAATAGTTCGATGAAAGATGGAACAATTATTGTTGTGGAAGGTGAACAGGGAGAGGTAGCGCAAAACTAAAAGTCAGACGAATTATATACAAATGCAAATGAACAATTTTCTTCACAAGGGTTGTGGAGTTGTACAGATAAACAGACAAAAACAACATACAACTTCACTCAAAAGTGCTTCGATTCAATTTGTAGTACATCCCAGTAGTATATAAACAACAGATGCATACAGAAGGAATGATATCAGGGAAGGCAGGACAACAACAGGACAAAAAACTGCAGCATAGTATACTCCTTAATACGACTATAACATACTCTAAAGATCACAAACAGTATACAACGTAGAGTTTTACATGTGATGTATAGAACAATATTACTATGACTATGAACTGATAAGTATGATAGAAAATCCAATATATAAACTTACTTTTATTACGTTTGTAATCTGATTTTTTAAAGCAGTTGTGAATTTCGCGGAATCAAATGGAGTTTGAACATGAGATGATATCTGATTTAAATCTGTTAACAGAAAAAGTATTTTTTAGTAATTCAACTTATGAGCTGATTGAATGGATGAAAAAATTAAGAAATGAAAATTCATATGAATAATTATTTAATCGACTCATAATTCCTATTGTGACATCAAAAGCAAGATATTCAGCGAAGAGAACTCTTTTCAAAGAATTTATTCTCAAGCTGTAACTTTTAGGATCAATTAGTAGAACATTTTTCGTAAACTGTTCTCCATTTGTTTAAAAGACAGCATCACTCGACAGGTCATCTTCATGTGCATTTACCAGTTCACCTGCTCCTGTAGAGCATGGTACATTGGCTGTAGTCAAAGATTGCTGTCAACATGTACACGAGAACATATTCCTACCTGGTTTCGAGGTGAAAAGAAATGCATTAGAAGTTTTATCCTTGAACATCCAATCGATTCTAACCAATCAACGAATCGAACAATAATTTTGAGGTTATCTATCCATTTTGCTTAAACATCTCTACGTTTCCTCCGTCTTCAACTTCTAAAAAAAGCAGAGACCCTGGTTATCCGTGAACTGAAACCTGATCTTTGCGTGCAAAAAAGTATGCACAGCCTTTGTCTCTACCTTAATTTGGTCTTTGTTTGTTTCGTCCTTTTTGGTCTTTTCAACTTCGCCTTTTGTTAGATTAATCTTTGTACTCTTATCTCGTCATCACCATTTCTATTTTTACATTTAATAGTTTCCCGTGTTACTTCACTTAATCTTCCCAATAATAGCAACTTTTAACAAAATATTTTCAATTTATTCCAATTAACTTGTCTCATTGATACTAGAAGACGAAGTTTACCTGAACAATGCGATGTATTTGAGCAATACATTTCTAACAACCTAATCACACATTTACTTACCAAGTCAATATATATTAAACCGAGGAGTGGGAGAACAGATACAAAAAATAACAGAATAGGAGGTAAAAATTAAGAAAGATGAGAACAAACAGGAAGTGACCTAGTTGGTCCTAATCTTGTTTCTTATTAAGATTCACATTGTTCAGATAAACTTCGTCTTCTAATTATGCTATCGAAATTCATAAAAGGGACTAACTGTTTCAAATCATTCATATTGCCTAATCCTTTGATTGTTTATTAACTTTACTACGTTTTCATCCCTTCGCAATCTATATGCACTTTATAAACGACTTTTAGTTATCATCATCCAGCAACATTATTCCAGTTAAAATCATCATTAGATATAGCTTAAACTTGTATAAGTCACAGCGTGTTTGAAATAAAATAATTCCAACGTTTCGCACAGAAGTTTGGTTCCAGCTTCTTCAGTGAAATAATCAGAAATTATTTTATTTCAAACATGCTGTGACACAAATACAAAACTAAATCTAATATCAACCTTTTACTCAGAACCCAATATTTGCGATACTATTCGGTCAAATCTAGATCATGGTTCATAATAAAATGACTAACAATAATGTTATTTCAATCTCCCAGTATTTGAATGTAATTTTCTTCACAGATTACAGTTTTTAAATAACAGATACACAAATACAAATGTACAGCTTGAGAATAAATTGGTTGAAAAAGGGGTCTTTTCGCTAAATATCTCGTTTTCAGTGTCATATTGAAAATTATGAGTTGAATTAAATAATTAGTAGATTGCACAATTCAAAGAGAACTTTATGTGGTCAAGGGAAAGATTGGCAACATCAAGTTCAACTGTAGTTTTAAAATATAATTTCTATTATCGGTCATGCTTAACACTAGTCGAATTGTCTGAATACGGATAATTGAGCAACATCTATGCCGAATAACAGTAGGATTCCACAGACCACAAGTGTCAAAGTATCGTGAGCCGGCCAATCTACTCGTTTAAGATTGAACTTCCTTCAGATTCCCGCTGAAATGATTGTTCAGGAGTACTTGACTATTGTTTTCACTTGCATACAAATAATCTTTACAGATTAGTAACAACTTATATCCTATGATTAGGTAGCTTAGGGGTCTTTTGCTGGTTATGATTTCACCATCTAATCACAAACGCCATAGTCTACAGTTACACGGACAGACAAAATCAACGTACAACCTCGCACATAAGTGCACTGGTTCAAGTTACCACACTTTTATGCACCAGAATAGGCAACACTGACGTATCATAAGACAATATAGGTAATGGAAATCAAATAGCACTTAGGATAAGGATGGATAAAAAAAGTGGATTCACCCCCCCTCTCAATGGAGCTCATTTACATTGACTAGTTACTCGAAATTAACTAATTTCGTGTTGTCTAGTCCTGAGTGTACTTAATTCATTCCTACAGGAAGTCAACTGCGTCCCGAATAGCTGCAACATTAGGTGAAGCGGTCTCAAATCTCATAAGAGATATCAGTCCTCTTGAGGTAGCAGATTGTTGTGATGCCGCACTGTTATCGATCTGAACATTTTTAACGTGTCATTCCCACACTATTTTTACGGTATGACTAGTAGTCTATTTTCTATCCCCATTGCGATGTAAATCGCTAATTGGTTAATCTTTACTCTTGCTATGCAAATGCCTGAAATTGAGAACAAGGTCATTTTCATGTGCGTACTTATTCACGTGTTTTGGGATTCATTTTATGATTATAGTCTCGGAGTAATAAACTCTCCCATCTACCAGCTTCGATCTTCTCTCTATTCGCCTCGGGATTGCAGTCAGTGGCTTTTGCGTATTAAGTTAGCTGTCAGCTAAGCGTGAGTATCATATTCGTTTCGGAATATATATAACCATTGGCGTTCGAAAACATAAAACAGATACACCTTACTGACGAGTTCAAATAAGCGTAAAACACAGGTTCAAGGCTTCCTGCCAATTTTATGCGTCCAGCTAAAACAATTATCCTTTTTTTATTCCAATTATTTCAATAAAAATTTCGGATCAGACTAACAAGGAAAGCTTTGGTATCATATCAATCCAAACATGCTGAATTTCTTAAAAATGTAACGGATATATTGTCATTTATTTGTTTGGTGTCGAGTAATTTTCCGCTGATGCGGTCAAATACTGGTCAAGGTTCATTCAAAAAACATGTGTAAATATTTTTTTAATAGGTTACAAACAATACCAAACGTGTATGTGACATCATCGGTTGACGAGACCAAAATAGACGTAAAATCGTTAGCCTAATGACTGATAGCAGATAACAGATTTTCAACTACGCAGACAAACAAACTGGATTGAACATAATTAAAGTTAATAAGGTATAACTGTGCTAAATATAAACGAATATCACTTGCTCCATCCAGATACTGTTAACGACTAACGATTGGACTGAAGAGAACGGAAATTACAATTCGCAACTTAACAATCACTTTCAGCTTCATGTACCAAGCTGTGAGCTACCTATGCAAGGCTACGTCTTCTTGAGGAACCTGAAAAAGAAAGTGGATCACTGAAGGCGGTTCAATCAACTTGGGAGTAAGACCGAAGAGCACAAAGGATAGATAGCTGCTTGAAGCCGGTAACAAACTGATTATCTGGATATTTCTACCTTAGATCTATTCGAGTCTCATCCATACCTGGAGGAGACTCTTATGGTTGATAATGGAAGCTCATAAGAATAGGTAAAGTGCATAACACTTGGAAACAACTTTTTTGAACTGCTATCGACGAACAGAAGATAGAATCCACTGGTTATCCTAAGGGAACATTTAACTAATATCAAATAGTGAGCAGGTTAGTGGAACGATTTTACCCTTAGACTTTACATTTTAAAATCTGAACTCATGAAGCTGAAGTCACCAACAATAAAATCTCATCGTTCTTCAGCCAGTCTTCCCAGCATGACTGTACATTAAGCAACAAGGATTTCAGTCAGCATAGTTTAAATGTTATAACTTGCAGTTAGATGAGGATTGACAGTGTTATCTCACAGCACAATCCAAACTTCAGTAGGTGGGGTAAAGTCTAATCGCGCAACATACTGACCAAAAGTCAGACTCATGCCATGACCTCCAGTTTTCCGTGAACCTTATTTTAAAATCTAGTCGGCTATCTTATACAGTATAGTGAAAGATTTCGAATAGACTTTAAAAGTCTTTTCATAAACAATAGGAAAATGAAGCTTTTTGTTTTACAGGACCTGTTTAACCCTGAAAGTTAACCAGGCCAAAATGTGCGTAAGGAATTGTGGGATTTCAAACGTCACCACATTATTGATGTATTTCTTATCTCCCTTATTTGACCAATTAAGCGGATGGACACATAAACACCCGTATAGGTTGTATTTATCCTTAAATTCTAACCACTTGGTCGAGTATATAAAAGAAAAAGTCTCCCCCCCTCCTCCCCCAAAAAAACACATAAAAGTTTCATGCAGAATAATCCACATACACTGTTGAGTACCGGTTTGGAACAGTTCATTCAAATCGGTGAATAACTTCTTGATGCCTTTTTCTAAGGCTGGTACGAAAATTTTATTCAGTGAATCTCTATAGGCTCCAGAAAGTTCACTAGTAAGCGCTCCAGATGCAGATCGTACAATTTGTGAGGTAAAATTCTGAAGAAAGAGAATTTTGAAATGAAAAAAAACCCAATAAAAATAAGTTTGAATGCAATTATAAAGTGTTGACAAAATCAAAAAGATTTTCCTGAACGTTTTGCTATGCTTTCTACAATTTCTTCAGTAGAACATATACATGACACATAAAGAGATGCACTAAGCCTACATAAGAATAAGAAACATTATAAGAATACAGGAAACAACGAGACGTAAATGTTATGCGTCAAATTAGCCGAAATATAAAAATCTAGTGCAGAGAGTGTGATGCGATTGGATAATACTAGTCAGCCAATCAAAAACAAGAAGTTAGTTGCACAAGTTGCAAAATAGAGCATTCAAATTCTGCCTTCAAAATATTCTTGTATAACAAAATGAGCAGAATGATGCAACATCAGTTTATTTCGTCGGTTTCTTGTCAGCTGTTCACAGGAGATTACGGTTACAACTACTAATATCATCCTGTTCAATTTGTTGTTCTTGTTTTCCTCGTATTCTTGTACACTTTCCCCTCAAAATGTGTTAGTGAGCATGTACAAATAATAAGGTATCACAGAAATGATCAGAAATAAGGTGAATGTTACATATAGGACGTTTGGTTTATTTGGTCATGTCCATAAACAACACTACTGTTCACTGAGCAGTATCTATCATTCCAGTAAACTCAATAGCTCTTTTCTTTCTTCTCACTAACAGCTTGATGCATTGAGGGAGGGGGGAGGGCAGTCCAGTACAATAGATACTGCTGTTAAGGAGGCATGTGTGAAGCACATTCGATATCATAAAATTAGGTGTTGAAATATAACAACTAACTCAACGAAAGTCTTCTGTATTACGAAAAATAAATCCACCAGAACCTCGTGTTAATTACACGCCACAAAAGATGAACAATGAATGCTACACAGGAAAAGTAACTAAACATACACACACATGGAGTTGTGGAAGATCTTGAAATCCTAATGAACACGTTTCATATTCATACAGTATTGACATTTCACAGGGGCAAAAGTGTGTCACGCAAGAGAACAAAGAAAAATCTACATAAATTATTGAGTTCGATGCATGTAGATATTAGTTCAGATAATATAGGATAAAAATTGACCCGATAAAAACTGTTCAGTTATCGAGCACTTAGTTAAGATTTGAATATTTCTAACTCTTCAGCACTGGTGTAGATTGAAGAATGCTAGTCAGGGCTTAAAAAGACTGAAAATTGGTGAACACTATGCAAAAGCTGATCTAATTTCCCAGACAGTTGATGAGGTTAGGTCAGCACATCCCAACGTACCTACAATTAAACCAGGAGTCAAAGTGGACCAGTTCAGAAGCCTTAGGTTAAATCTGGTGAGTGTTAAGATAGGCAGATAGATAGAAGAGGATAGGTTATGCCTGATTGAGTCTTGTGTACTACTAGAAGCATGTGGGCGGTTGAAACTTCTCAGCTGCTCACACCGTGGAAAGTTAGCTCTTCTTGAGGTACCTGAAAAAGGAGGGCTAGTGCGTGACGGCAGACCTCAAGAGGCATTTGCTTGAGGTCGGTCACACACGGTCAGTTTGTAATTTTGATTTTTTACTTTCGAATCCGACAATGAATCCCTGTCGCAGGCATCGGCATGCCACAGGGTGATGACAGTCTGCTTTTGGGGGGGCCAAACTTTTCTGACCCACACACCCATAGAGAAAGCAGCATTAGCTCGTCGGCCACTGTCCCACCCCAACTCGATCAGCAGTACGATGTCGCCCTCAGACCCCCATCATAGCGTAGTAATTTACAGCATAGTGGTAAGCGCTTTCAGTCTAACCACTATTTAACAGACTTTTCTGATTGATAGTGAGTTTTAAAATCATTTTTCATTTAAAAATAAAATTGGTGCAGTATTAACACAAAGCAACACATATATATATATACCCGGATTGTTCCGGTATGCCTGATCAGTCTCTTCTTTGTATTAAAATGCTCTCTTATGATACTAAGCTCATGGTGTTCACCGGATAAAACCCATACTGTTTTAACCTGGTAACGGTGCTTGCATAAAAGTGATTATCTTACGTTTATCATCATATTCGTTAGAAGACGCTGATTCGAAACTAGCGATACACATCGATTTTAGGATCTAGAGGGATTCAGCGAGGTACGAATCTCTTTTCGCGAACACCAACCATGGGAACGCAGCTAACTTGTCAAATATAATACAAGTAAAAGGTTCGAAGAATGGTCGTTTGAGACAACTATTCGTTTCACATTTCTGGTGACTGCGAAGTACCTCAGCCTTCACAAGAACCAAACACTGTACAACGGCCGTAAGAAGAATCTAGAGCACTCTCACATATATTTCCTTAAGCTGTTCAGGAAATTCAGAAATTTGTCGACCTTTTCATCTGACAGAAATACGTTACGTGAATACTAAAGTTTGATAAAGTTAAAATCAGACAGATTGATCCCTGAAAATCTTTTGGCAAAAAATGTTACGATCGTAGGCGCAAACAAGACAAGGTTGAACAAAACTAGGGAGATTGGATACGAATAATGAAAATCATCCTAGTACAAAATAGATTCAACTAACTCTCATATGACAATAAGTGAAATTAAACAGTCAGCAACAATGATATAACTGTTTCATACCTCCTTTGTAGAAGGATAAGGCCACAAAATTTTTCCCTATCAGCATCAAATGCTACCTTGGGGAAAAAGGTATGTCTAGTACAGAGCATCGTTAAACGTATCGCTTTTCTAATACAGCTATGAGCAGAACTAAAACAAAAATATTCCTTTTGATGAGGTATGCAGCTTGAAATTCGACAGCATACTAACCACGAGGAGCTGTAGCTCGTTAGTCTAGGCGGTTGGCTTTTAACTAGTGGGTCATACTTTCGAATCCCACCCAACCTACCAGGGTTTCGGCAGCCAGGTAGTATCCCTAGGCTTCACCCAATAAGTATGGTTCATTGCCTACTGCACGGGAATGCACGTGATTGCTGAAAGTTTAGTTATTTTAGTGTAAGTATATATGGAATTCACAGGATATGTATGTGTTATGCATTGAATAATTAGCTATGCACCTATTGCGTAAGTGCTAGCAATACTATCTGAGTAGCTCAAATCTCAGTTAGTGGGGTTCATAGTCATAATACCAGTCAGGTACTGGTTAGAAGTAGAGCAACATACACCACTGAGACACAGTTCCACAAATATACACATGAATACCATCAATCGATTGACAGTAATAAACACAGACTTGCCTTTTCTCTCAATGTGCGCTGAACAGTTTCAGTTAAACTTGATGGTAGGTTAGATAGACCTTCTTGCATAGCATGATATATGGCTTGATGAAGTGGTTCAGTGATATGTAAATACCTTCGAAAAAAGGAAGTAAACAAACAAACATTTTTGTAATGTATAGAAATACAACTGATAACGGTGAAAAAATGACACATAATCATGAGGATTTAATAAAACTAATGTCTCAAAGATTCAGAAATCCAGTATGTCCTCATAGGTGTGACAGACAGATAGACAAAATCAACGTTAAGCCTCACTTCGCTCAAAAGTGCATCGGTTCGATTTGCCGCAATCCACAGTAGTATACAAACAACAGGTGCATAGAACAAGAGTGATACTGAACAAAATAGTCAAAGTTGTGTCAGAGAACAAACAATTTGAAGATAAAGGTTAGTGCAAATATGCGACCCTTAAAAGATGTCAAAGAGTGAATACATGTTCACCATTGTGACCGATTTCCAGCCGTGTCATCAGGAGTTCTCAACCACTGATTCCCATCGTCTCGATGACAACAGCCAAGCAGTCTACATCTTCCCACACACCTCACATCAAGAGTCACGGACTTCATCGACTAGTCCCATGTCTTGGTCTGGCCACCCCAACCCTCTTACAACTTAATCCAGCTTCCCCTATCATCGTACGTCAAGGTAGACGGTGGATCTGTATGTGCGGCACACGTCCAAGCCACCTCAGCATATATTTTAGGTGCGAAAGCCAGACAAATACCGCCACGAGGTCATTCTGTTTCACGTTGAGTGCATGGCTTAAAAAGATAAGTCTACAGTGATCCTTAGCATGCTATCGTTAATCCAACGGCAAAGAAATTGTAAACATGTTTTGAGTGACTTCATAAAGATTAGTTTCGTTGCAAGAGACTCCTTGGTAAACCAAGAGTACACGGATGATAGTCATGTTGGGAGAAGATGCTGACTAGGTGTGGCAACTTGGACTGTTGACCAAGAAATCTCATTTTAATTGATTTGTCAGATGTATCACATACAGTGTAACATCATACATCGAATAAATCAGCTAAAATGGGTTTACATTCTACCACTATACCCAATTTCTCTCTTACGTTGACCAAAAGTGTCAGATTCCACGCTGATATTGACTATCTTAAGTTAGCTTCCTATCGTTGGGTGTAGCTTGCATATTGCATTATTTATTGACAAGTGGAAGCCTTAATGAACTAGAGGTGTTAGTCTTGATCAGTTTTTTAAAAAGGTCACATTTTCCTTGCATTTCAGTTCTCAAATACGAATATCAGTCATGTAAGACCTAGCATCGTTTCATTGCACATGAGCTGAACTTACTAGGCTTCGCGTCAACATGAGGAATGGGAAAATAAACTAGAGAACAATAGAGATATCCTGTTTGCTTGTATAGAGAAAGTCAACATCCTGCCACTGATGATTATGAAGTAGAACTAAACTTTGGTGACAAGAAACCTTGAAGACAATCAATGAAGTTATAGATGTTTCATCCAAGGACATTCGTAAAGTCTACTTACTATGTTGTTCACGCTGAATAAATTTTTGATGAATTATGACGTAGTTGGATGTGAAATTTGGTGAAGTAGGTAATGTGGTTGAAATCGATGAATGCCGCTTTCAGAGACGTAAGTTTAATCTTGGAGGACGACTTAAATAGCACTGCGTAGTTTACATACATGTCTCGGCAAATCACAGATCCTTGATATAAACGATCGAAATACTAAGAAAGGACATTCCAGTGGATACAGGATGGATCTGAAAAATCTGTCCTAGCAGTTAAAGAAAAATGCGTGACACTAGGAACCACATTATACACATATGCTTGGAAGTCGTATACGCCTCTATCTGAAATGGGTTGCCTCCATTAGGCTGTTGTTCACAAGAAGCACCTTCGTTGATCGGACAACTGGAGTGCACACAGACAACTTTGAAAATTTGTGAAGTCATCCTAAAAAGTTCTTAAGACCTGTTATAGGATCACGAGGGGAAATGGATGAGTGGCAATACGAACAATGGTACGATTTGAAAGATGACAAACACTTATTGAAAATCAAGATATCATTGTTTACCATGTTAAACAGATTTATAAATTGTCAGTAAAGTACCACATTTCTGAATAAGTACGTTGTCCTATATATTCTTGATTCTGAATATTCAGTGTATATGTGAATGTTACTGGCCGTCCCTAAAGTTTAGTTCTACCGATTATGAAATATTGGGTTGATCCAACTGTATAACCTAAGATAACTGATGATAATCCATTCTATTGGTGTGCATGATTAAACTTCAAGCCATTCAAGATAATCAAAATCTACAAAAACGTTCGGATATAATCAGAGTGACCTGCAGATGTCCAGAACATAACATGACTATGGATATAATTGCCTCAAAACACCAGAAATACCTGAGAATATACAGAGATCACAGTTATAATAAACCCGGTAATAAACCGTCAATCGTTTCAACTCTTTTCGAAGAATCATAAGATCAGGTAGTTAATTCAAGTGAGCCAATGGCATAATCAGCAGCGATGTGTTAGGATCCAAAGAGCTTTATAGAGCTGAACTAATTTAGCAGACTTACTAACAAACGATGCACCTGTGAAAACAACTCACAGAAAGGTGCGATTCATTTAATCGTCATTAGCTTACTAACTAGACAAAAACACTAGAGGATCTCAAAACAATCCGACTTCGGAAAGTTATTAGAAAAACCGAAGGATCATTTCCTTAAGTCTTTGATGAAGATCTTCTGAATGCGTTAAACAGAAATCTGAGTATTTTTCGCGTGCATGATCCAACTACCCTTAGCCAAATTCTAAGGAGTGAAGTGAAGAAATGCATCGACCACTTCACTCACTTGAGGAGTTGCAGCAGACTGAATGGGTTAGTCGCTGACGAAATCTTCACTCAGATATAGAAAACCCATTTGGCACTTAGCAACTTGCTTCATCTTTGTTGTCGAATGGAGAGATGTCCGACTATCTATTAAAGAGTGGGTATGCCGCACTTTAGTCTGCTCTATCGTAACAATACGGCTGTGAGATGTGGCCGCTAAAAAGAGATTGTCCGAAAAGGTCACAGTTTTTCGACCACGTGTCTCTGAAGCATTGCCAGCATTACCATGGTGGAATCATCCTCCCATATACGTTTGCTTACTCTTTCTCTTACCATTTGTTCTTTACATGTGAAAACTTAAATAGATGCAATTTTGTGCCAGGTTTTGAGTTCACTTTTTGTCTATCTGATAACTTCTCCAGTTTCTAAAGATATAGAATATCGTGTGATTACCCCCAAAATGACAACTTACTTGAAATAAACTAGATCATGCATGTCACTACGATGAGTTACACGACAAGTGTAATGCCCTCAAAGTATCTATCTAAACCTCGTCGACACAAGAAAGTTGGATAGTTGAAAAGCAACCCTAGCTATGAGAAAGAGTTAAAATGAGCTATGCAATTTTCTAATTCACTCAAGATGGAAAATTCTCTAGATTTCACAAGTTTGTACATTATAATAGCATAGTGGTCATAATGGAACTGTGGCTCATTGGTTTAAGCACTTGATTTCAACCGATGGGTCATGAGTTCAAACCAACCTACCTAAGTTTGGGTAACCAGATATGAGGGTCACTGTCTACTGTACGAATCTGTACAAAGCTGCTGACAGGATTTTATTTTTCCACTGCCGAGTGATCATAGTAAAGAGACGTGACCACCATTGTCGATATAAGACCCGAAATCAACAAGTAACAGCGCAGTTTGCCCTCATAATGTCACGTCAGAGAAGAGAGTCAGAAGTGGAAATAATCTTAACGAGAATCGAGGAAGTCGCAAGAACAAGAAAAAGAAGTACATTAAATGACGAAATGTGATATTATGATTCATGCAATGATAAGCTATGAATACTACTATGCCACTGAGGTCGATTCTGAATTGTATCTAATCGCCGATTTCTCTTGTATCACAAACTTCGATTGAGAATTCCGATAATCTCGAACAAACAGTATGAAACTTACTAAAGTGCAGGTACATCCAGCTACCGAATCCTAAATAAGACGAAACGCACGTCCTGGAATCCACTGCCAGCCAACAAGATGAATACAACATCATTTATATCCAACAGTTTCGAGGGCTCTGTAGAGGAGTCCATCTGCCAATAGATGTCAAGCAATTCGACCCCATATAGCAACGGGAAATTAAAAGAATCAATGAACAACAACTGATACCCTTTGCACAAGTGTTGTTTCTCGTTCCCTAGTAGCCTAGTGGAAGCGATGGGTACAGGCTTCGAGTTTCAGCGGGAACAATATCAATCACTGGGAGGCAGGAGAAAACGTGCATCTTGGATTTCACTTCTAGTCACCAACGTTAATATAACAGTATGATACTTCATTTGCTGATTCCATATGTTGGTTTCGTTATCAGGATGCAGAGTGATGTTCGAGTCACCAGTACAACTGGTTTCGGTTGTCTTGTAGATGCTGAATCACACAACCCAGACTAAAACAATGTAATTCAGAGGACAGGTAAGGGTTAGGTTACTGGTAAGTGAGTCATACTAATTATGTGAGCACTGGGCTGCCCAACTCTGATAGGTGGAGCAAACTTTGATTTCGTGATACATTTATTGAAGAAAATAAACTATGACAACTAATGAACCACTCTTTCAAATAATTATAGTATATTTGGTGCAAGATGTTAAGATTTAGTTGTTAAGATATCCTGAACAAGCATCACAGAATTCATCAATATCGCGTATGGAACAATATTTGAGAAGACAGTGTTCTTCATCCCTCAATAATGATGAAATCAATGACTTTATTGCTAAGATAGTCAAGTGTCAGCAGAAAAAGTATCAAGAAGTAAAGAAGGAGAGGAACAAACTAGAAAAGAGAAACGCTTACTGTTAGTAAACATCTTTTGCAATTCTTCACATAAAACAGGCTTCAATGAATCAGATATCAATTTCGGCAACAGATTGATACGTGATTCTAGACTAAACAACATGGTAGTCTTTGCATGATGAGATTCTTGTACACCCAGTAGAATTTTATTCATGGACTCCTCGATTTGTGAATAACGTCGAGAGAAGTCACCTTGAACAGTTCGAACTGAAAGACAGAAAAAGTAACGAAGAATCAATGTTGTAAATAAAAATTATACGAATAGAGAAATTTTAAACTGTTCCAGTAACTTTCACCTACATTCAGGTAAAGATTAAAGCACTAATAATTACTGATTTATGCATATCAAATAATATTGTGTACTGATGAATGAAGTAAGCGTCAACACGCTTCATTCTTACAGTCCTATTTAAAAGTTCGTATATTGAAACTTAGATTGTAAAAGCTAATCATAATGCACTGGTCATCTTTAAAGGATAGTTACCGAAGTCAAGTAGGTACCTGATCGTTGATAGTGTTGACAGATTTATGTTAGTCAAGTGATGAATCAGTCCTCGAAGTTAATTAACTTGCCAGTTAGGTGTTCTGTATTCGATTAGGCTTGAGTAGTTGATCTTGATTTCCACGGTCAGGTTGCCTTAGACAAATGGGCGGTTACAGCTTTTCTGAGTCCAGTGCTGAGTGATGTGAGGGTGGTTTAGTCCATGAAACTTGATCAGTTTCCACATCCTCCATTTGAACACTTCAGGTCCCATAGATGTTCAGTTAACTTGCCTATATTGGAGCATTTTAAACACGAATTCTCACCAGGGAAATAAAATCACATTTATCCTGAATATAACACAGATTGACATTGTTATTGCGTTCGCAATATGATGAGAAATCTCACCTACTATCCCTCCCCATCAGTAATCAGACGAGTGCCTAGAAATACAAACTTCTTCGATAATTTCCGATCAAAAGTTTTGCTAGCAGTGCTGCCAGTTGAATATCTGATATAACAGAAACCCTGTAGGGAAGAAAGATACTCGACTTGCTGCATCTAGACTGTGTGTGTTGACAAACACAATTCATTCAAAATAACTTACGTTGTAATATTATTTGATTCGCCAGTTCACTAGACTTCTTGTCACCACCACCACCACCAGGTGATTTCGACCCCGACTTTGTCATAATATAGGATGGTAGAGTTTGATGATTAGATTTACTGAGTTGTTTGCTAATTTCAGATTGCATTCGTTCAAGTTGTTCCAGTTTTGATTTCGTTTGATTAAATTGTTCTAGTTTGCGTGTTGTTGTTTTTTTTTCATCATAAAAAAGGTTGAAATTAACAGATGAGGTAAAAAAAAGGGTAAAATTAATGACGCAAAAATGTTACTGTCGGAAATATTTAACTTATGCTTACACAACTATACACGCGTGTTTTATGTGTATGCAAATCACCACAACGTATTCATTAAGAGAAATCTGATGGAACACAGTTCAAACGAGTGCGAAGTTGCGTAGTTATTTTATACTACACTATAAACAAAGTCAATATAAGAAATCGACTAAGTACTTTTCAATTCAACATCCACCATACATTGATTCAGTCTAATATCATCTCCCGTTAGGTATGTGTGTGTGAGAGAGAGAATACAGCAGATAATCATATATATATATATATATATATATATATATATATATATATATATATATATTATATATAACAAAACACCTACTGGATTGTGGGCATGGTATTGAAACCTGTGAGTCCTTCACGGTTATAAGTATACGGCAGAATAAGGAGCTTCTTGCAATTGCAGAAGCATGTGCGACTTGAGTTATCAAATCGCTGCGTCAAGAAGGAAATGGTAGTCAACTTGAGTCTACCATAGTAGGAATTACAACATCATCTAACTATGTTTAAACTTCCGTACTTGCTCTTTACTCTCGATTATCACCCGTACCTTGCATTTTTTTTCTTTCCTGATTTCTTCTGCAGAACAAACCTTACTTCTATTACCATAGTTATCACAATTATTCATTTCAATACACACCTGGTTTCCCTACGGTGTAATTTTAAGTGCAGAGGCATCAGTTCCCACGAGCTTACAGATACACCTTGGTCAAGTAGGGCTTCCTGCCAATTGCCTACACTTAAGTAACGATTTTCACCTTGTCAAACTCCTTGCCCTTTTCATCATTTCCGTTGTCTGAAAGTTTTCAGTTTTCAGTACAACCTTAATGATTTGACTATGCCTTATTACTCAATAATACACTGGCATATATTTGTGATATGTACATACATACGATCGTATAGCCTTAGAAAATGATATCGTCGAAGAAGAAAATTTTCTTCGCTGATTTATCTGTTAGGTAATATCCAGTACTTTTCAGCAATTTCTTCCGGAATCATAAGAAATAAAACTTATTTTATTGTAACTGGAATTAAGCGGCGTGATCATATTACGCATAACACACTAATGAGTTCCACATTAGATTTGTTTATTTGATATAACACACAGTAATAACGTATCATTTACCACAGTGTCCAACTTTTGCACATATACTAATGGCACCTATGAGTAGCCTAACCCACCAAATGCATCGAATAGCACACACAACAGTCTTGTAGTGATGTAATCACTTATTAAGCATTCGTTTACAGTGATCTTGGACTTTTGTTTTAGCAAAAATGGTAAAAATTCATATCAATACACTCGAAAATAGAAATACATCCAGTAATCATGTGGATTGTTGAGTAGTAGACAATCAATCACACCTACTCCGTGAAAGTTATTAATTAGTACTGTCTGGTTTCCTAAACCTCCCATACCTGTAAGTAAACCTCGAATCCATGATCCAGTAATTGGAAGTCAAATTGAAGAATGTCTCAAATATTGGTGCTTCTATTCTATGCAATCAAGGTGGAAAATATTCATAAGTTGTGGCTGACAGCTAATTTGTTGAATTATCAGTACTCAAGGTTATGGTAAAAAAAATTATCCATACTCCCTAACGTATCTCCAAGTTTCCTAATGGTTTCATGTAACTTATAATACGCACCATTAAACAGTCACAAAGAAAACAGAAATAACTGAACTTATTTATTCATTGGAGCTATGATTCGTTGATGTGAATATACCACTACCAAAAATAAATCATGGGTTCAACTCCAGCTATATAACTGAAGGTTGGAAAATCAGGCAGTTCATATAATTAACCTTCATATACAATAAATAAGCGGTTATTACGCTCATATATTCTAGCCAACATAATCAACAATAAATGCTATTAATTTGTACGTATGTATATAAAAATTCGTAAACAGTCTTACCCATCATAGATTTGAATTGTTTATTTTGTTCTTGTGAAGTTTCGGCTAACACTTTTAACTGATCTAGGATCATATCCACTTTGTTATCGGTTGTTATATGCAAGTTATTATTGTTATTATTATTCTCGTCATCATTTTTATCTTTTTCACTGCCATTGTCTTCTTTCAAGGTTGATTTTACGCATCCAAATAATTGATGATCACGAGAATCATCTTCATCCGCCTCAGCTTCAACTTCGCCAATATTATCTCGATTAAGTGAAGATAATGACGACTCGATAATAATTTGTGAAGTAACTGGTAGTGACATTTCTTCGTTAGCCACTGTTATGGATGGTGGTGACGACAATGGTGTTAATGGAGGAAGTAGCGGTGGTGTAACTGACCCTGGTGATTCTGGTGGCAATATATTGATATCGTTTAGATCAAGTTGGTCAGGATTTATTCCACTGTCCAATTCATTTTTATGTTTAGAAAGACGAGGAGTAGAATTTCTCAAAAGCTTTTGCAGTGTGCTATCCAGTAGATCATGAACTGAATATCAGATGGTGAAAGTCGAGAAGCGACGGACGGTGTGAAATGTCAGAATAAAAGATGAGACAAAAAAAAAACCCAAATCAGTATAGGAAATTCTTCAGACAATAAATCGTTGGTTATTATCATCATTATTTACTGATAATTGTAATTTTTGGTTTTTATTCTGGATCGAAACCTCGCCTGGTTAACTAGTTCACTAGTTACTAGCCGGTCCTAAGCTCGGGTAAAGAGGGAACGTTGGGCATAGGGCTAGCAACCCTACTCCGGAAAACAAATCTAACTGCTAAACAAACTTCAAACCACAAACAAAATATAAAAAATAATAACAAAATTATTCCTCACTGGAATCGGAGAGGCGAAATGACGCCAGTTGGTGAAAGCCTTCGAGGAGCTAATTGGCCGATGTGTCTTCTCTTCTCTCGATAAAAGCGAAAGTGAACATAGGGACATGGAATGTCCACACCATGTTTGAACCCAGCAAGGCAGCCCAGATTGCAAACGAGATGAGAAGGTATCATATTGAAGTGCTAGGAATTTGCGAAAGCAGATGGAATGGGAGTGGACTTTCCAAACTGTCAACTGGAGAATCAATAATCTACTTCGAAATTGTTACCCAGACGACAACCACGAGCACACTGAGATTTGGAGTGGCTATCATGATGTCCCCAACAGCATCGAAGGCTCTCATCCAGTGGGAACCAATCTCCTCCTACAGGATCATGACAGTAAGGTTCAACTCAAAAGGAAGAAAGGAAGGTCACAATCATACAATGCTACGCTACTCACCTACAAATAATGCAAAGCAAGAGAAAAAGGAGGAATTCTACAGACAACTGCAATCAACACTGGACAAGACCTCAGTTGGTTATATCAAAATACTAATGGGTGGGGCGACATGAATGCCAAACCGGGAGGTGACAACACAGGAAGATAACTAATCATGGGTCAAGAAGCGGTAGGTGAGCTGATGAACGAGAATGGAGAATTGTTTGCAGAATTCTGTGCATTCAACGATTTGGTGATTGCAGTGAGGCAGTGTGTTCAAGCACAAGGATATCCACAAAGCGAGCAACATGGATTTCACCAGACACCAGGACACACTAAAAATCAAATCGACTTCATCTCAATCTCAAGAAAATGGAGACGCAGTCTGCTTGACACAAGGTAAAGAAGAGGAGCAGATGTAGGTTCACACCACTCACTATCTAGTGGAAGGAACCTTCCGAATCAAGTTGAAAGCCTTCAAGGAAGTTGGTGATAGACCACAGTTCAAGTACAACACTCGGAAACTGAAGGATAAAACTACAAAGGAAATCTTCACGGCAGCCAGCCATCAAGACAAAATGGGAGACACTAAGCAACATCCCTGAAGAAACCTGTGTGGATGACCACTGGAACTCTTTGAAAGCTATGTTGAAAGAAACCTGCACAACCGTATTAGGAAGGAAGAAGAAAGAAGATAAGGAATGGATCTCAATGCATACATGGAAGCTGTTAGAGCAGGAAGAGGACGATGGTGATGGTGAAGCAGAAGATAAACCAGTGCAAAGATGAACGACGAGAAGAGGAACTGAGTACAATCTATAAAACACTAGACTGGACAAAGAAGTGAAGAAGAGTGGGTGGAAAGACAAAAGACACTTCTACGAAACACTGACAAGTGAAGCAGAACAGGCTGCAGGTAAGAGAGACACAGACCTGACAACATTGTATCAAATAACCAGCTTACTATCTGGGAGGGAACAGATCAACACAGATGAAAACAATAAAAGATGATGGAAGGAAATTTAATTACGAAAGAAGAGAAACAAAGGAAACAATGGGCCGACCACTTCAAAAAGCTCTCGAATCGACCACCACCACCACCACCCGCACTTCGTCCAGAAATACCACCAGAAGGCCAGTCACAGAACTATCAGTGTACATAAATCCTCCAACAAAAATGGAAGTCCTGAACGCCATAAATCTACTGAAATGTGGGAAAGCAGCAGGACCAGATGGAATTCCTCCAGAAGCACTGAGAACAGACGCAGAGACAACAGCAGACATGCTCACACCACACCACTATTGCAGAAGGTGTGGAAGGAAGAGAAGGTACCTGATTAGTGATTGGAAGAAGGGTTACCTTGTCAAACTGCCGAAGAAAGGAGACCTCAGTGTTTGCAAGATCTGGCAAGGAATCACTCTCCTTTCCACCCAATGCAAGCAAAATATTAAGCTGCATCATCCTGGAGAGGCTAAGGGATGCGCTGGATACAAAACGACGACCGGAACAGGCTGGCTGGCTGGATTCAGGAAGTACAAATCATGTGCGGACCAAATTGTAACGCTACACTACGCATCATCATAGAACAGAGTATAGAATGGCAGTCAACTCTACACCTCAACTTCATTCACTTTGAGAAGGCCTTTGACAGCGTCAACCGAGAAGTAATTTGGAAACTGCCTCATTACTACGGAATGCCACAAACCTTTATCAGCCTTATTCAACAACTATATGAAGATGCCATATGCCAGCCAAGTAATTCACAATGGGAAGCTCAGTGATGCTTTGGAAGTGAAGACATGCAGGAGTGAAACAAGGTTGCCTTCTATCCCCCATCATATTCCTGATCGTGGTCGACTGGATCATGCAGCAAACAGTGGGGAGCTGGGAGAAAAGGAGGATACGCTGGACTGCGGAAAAGAACCCAGAAGATCTGGATTTCGTCAACTATGACTTGTGTCTGATGTCACACAAACTTGAAGATCTACATGCGAAAACTAACAAGTTGGCAGAAGAGACAGGGCAGCGAAGAAGGAACTTCAAGTGAATATAGAGAAAACAGAAGTGATGAAGATACCCAACCAACAACTCCAACAACAACAACAAACTCCAATCACCATCAACAGGAGGAACTCAAAGGAAGTAACCTCCTTCACCCATGTAGGCAGCACTGTTTCAACTACAGGCGGCACAGAAGAGGACGTCAAAGTCAGAATGGGAAAAGCAAGAGAGGAGTTCATTAGCCTGAAATCAGTGTGGAGATCTTCTGCACTGCACTCAGCATGTGGAACAACATCCGGATTTTCAACACCAACACCAACGTCAAATCAGTGCTTCTATGTGATGGTTGAGAGACTTGGTGAGTGACGAAAGGGATTCCCAACAAACTACAGACATTCATCAACAACTGTCTACGCCGGCTCGTTACTGAAGCTCAGATGGCCAGAATAATAATAATAATAATAATAATAATAATAATAGGCAACAAGGAACTGTGAGAACGGACCAAACAATAACCTATCGCTGAAGAAATAGGCAGTGGAAGGAAGTGGAGATGGATTGGATGGGGCATACACTGAGAAGGCCGACTGGGAACATCACGCGTCAGGCCAAGCCGTCGAGTGGAATCCCCATGGGAAGCGACGAGTTGGACGTGCGAGGGTGACATGGAGGAGATCGTGCGAGGAGAAAATGAGAGCTTCTGGGCTGTCGTGGAGCCAGGTTCAAAAGATTTCAGAGAAGAGAGTGGAATGGAGACGTGCTACTGAATCCCTATGTTCCATCAGGAACCCAAGGGACTAATAATAAATAATAATAATTCTGTATCGAATTGATCATCTGCTCCTTTGCACATGCCTTGTTTGAATATTTATTGGTATGATCGACTTGCTTGCGGCTAACAACAACCAAATCGATTATAATAAAACACTGGGCACAAACTTAAATGAATCAAGCGAATTACATTGGTAACCCTGAAAAGATCTAAGACTGGGTACGACAATCATAAATTTCATGTTAAGCAATGTTTAAGAGTAAGGGCTACTGGGCTATGAAGTACCAATCAAACATTTCTTCAAAACATGTCATTCCCAATACTATCCGCACGATAATCAAACCATCAGATGAATGTAGTTCGGGCAATGTGATAGGGTGCAATTCCATAGTAGGAGTGACTTTAAAGGCCACCCTAGCAACAACTCAAATGACCAACTAGACTTCTCTATTTTATGAAAATCTGCCTATTCATCCTACATGAAGAAACCTAATTGACTATTCCGATTGTTGCTAGGACCGCCTTTAAAGTCGCCCTAAATTATTGCTCATAATCATACCAAGGTGATCTTACATAACTCTCTCGTTTGGGTTTGATATCTTTTTTCTTAACGTCCATTTTTTAAATTTTAATGAAGAGCACAGCTCAAGAACTTGACTTAATTTGGAATGATACACCGTACCAAGATACGTAACCAGGAGAAAAACTCAGCCAGTGCTATGCACACATGAATACACAATCATATTGCTATGCATCCGTTCAAATTGAAAACAGTTCATCTCACTACACGGAGATGAAAGTTAAAAGGACAAAATACTTTTTTAAAAAATAATACCATTACCAGCAGTCGTAAAAAGTCGTAGGATAAAAGGGTTACAGAAAAAGAACATCATTGTGTGACTTAACAATTTAGACCCGTCGATGGCCGGTTTGAATCCTGCTGTGACCCAGATTTTCACTTCACCTTCAATCACCACCACCAACCAGTGTTAATTTAGATGAAGACAAAGCATTAGTGGCGGGTAAGGGCTAGGAGTGGAATCCGGAACACATCAGACTCGTTAGCAGGATGTACCTGCCTCAGTGAGCGATGTTGTTCCCACTAAGACTCGAAGCCAAGATAGATGGCTTCAAACGTTAGAGCGTTATCCACAAGGCATAACTGTATCTTTGCTAGTGTAACAGATTCTGATCCACTACAGTTACAATCTCTAAGCCCTGTACTTTGATTATCAAATGAATGTTGAGCAGCCACAAGCCAATAGACGAGTAGTTGATCAACCGACGGTAGGTCATGCTATTTAGAAGGGTTGGTTTAAGCACCTCATCCTAACCTATTTTTATTCTGGTTGACAATTAACGCCGATGTGGCAAACAACCTCTTAGCATGTGCAACACATGAAATAAATACTGGAAAGTCGAGGGAGAAACAAAACCCCAGCAGACTTTACTGTCCCAAGGTTACAGATATATATATATATATATATATATATATATATATATATATATATATATATATATATATATATATATATATAACAATCATCAAATACCAACACATTACAGTCCTCTCAATTTGGACAGTTTTTGGTTAGTAAGAAACATAGTAATAAATAGTTACTTACATGAAGAGGACATATGAAACTATAAGAGAGTTGCATGAGTTTACATCATTATGAATGCACTAAGACGGTTTGAAGTGAGTGGACTTTAATTTTATAACTACTTCTGTCAACCATTTAACTGTTGAATTTTCATTATCCACGTGAACTTATAACTAAAATTTTTATATCTGTATAGGTGGTATAGATTATCACATAAATTTAATGATATGCAGTGTGATTTGATGACAGACAAATATCTAAGCAGACGAAAAAAAACAACAAGAAAGAGAGATACAGACACAATAGGAACTGTGTACCTTATTTGATTGATTGGTCGCTCGCTGCTCAGCCTACAGAATGTGTATCACAATTAGCTCTAGTCATCAATACACTGACAACTTTCAAGTATAAAGGTGTGTATTTGTATGGATGCATGTGTACTAGACAGTTAACAGAAATAACTAAACTATCTTCAAAGTCAATAAGAAAAGGCAAAGATCCATTGAAAGGCAGAAATAGGTTGGCAGAAACATACATAGTTCGATTTTTTTTAATTAAAAATTGTTATCAACTCTTCGATCTGTGGCAAAAACTGTTTTGAAATAAATCGACTACTCACAAACATCTTGTTATAGTGGCGGAAAGATTGCCCCGATCCTGTTAAGAAGCACCTAAAACCCTGAAGCTTTTTACAATTGTTCTGCTTTTGAAGTTTTGAGAGAAGACATATGAACCAATGTGTAAGTACCAGATAGGTTAAAAGGTCAAAAATCAATAGGATATTCTAATCTAGAAAGACCAAGAAATTGTCAAGGCCATCGTAAAAACAGATCGTTGTATTTTGTAATTGACGTTGCAGTATACCTTCTCTATTGTCTCACCACCTTTTCCATTTACCGAAGAACCGAGTGACCATAAAGGGGCGAATCTGAAGGTTATTGTTTAAGCATCCACTCTTGTATGTATATCCTTGTTGCCACTTGATATATACAAAAACATCGCAACTGAAAAAAGTGTATACCACAACGGCTTTAGTTTAAAGAAAACAATTGATTACCACGTACCAGAGAAAGCTTTTTATCAACAGAATCTGGAGAATCCATTGCTTGAAAACCGACTTCATCGCTATTATCATCAGTGGACAACTTTGTCGATTCAATCTGTTCATGTGCAATAGTGATGTGATGATGATGAGATTTTTCATTAAGATTCACAGATTCAATTGGTTGACTCAAAGATACATATTCATCATCATTATCAGCATCAGCACACGACGGTTTCATACAAAACGGTGAAGCGAATGACGAAGAAGAAACAGTAGCGTCAGGTGTAGCAGATTCGGTCAATGAATTCGCATCAATCATTGTTACTTCATTCACAAATTCTTGTGGAAATTCATGAAGCCTAATATTTTTAGTAGAAGAAAAGGTGGATAGATATAATAAGTTTCTTTTAATATTGAATTGCTTAGGCAAATATAAGCGCTCTCTTATACTGGTAAAAGCTACCTATGACCAAATGATTGGATGATTATGAAGAATGCAAGTATTTAAAGTGATAGACACTGTTTACAAGTCTATCTACACCACGAAGCACTGTTTACCACTGATAAGAACTTACGGTTATGTTCGTATATCTCAAAGATAAACAGTTTGAGGTTGTCTAGATAAAGTTTATAAGAACCTTATGTGTTAATTTAGTAGGTTTTTATTCGACTTTCAATAACATTTTCACTAGTGACAGAACTTCATTGGGTGAAGGTGTGTATCAACTAGGATCATTATCTCCGAACACAAACCTGGTACAATATGAGCACCAAGAGATGCGCCAGTATTATAGTCGCGTTAAAATGATGAAAACGCAGGACACTAGAGATTCTATTTACTCCTGATGAAAAGTTTTTACTGCTGTCACCATACACTGGAGTCAATAGTATCCTCAAACAACTGAGCAAAATCTATCAAGAGAGGCACTTTTTATGTGAAACAGTGACAAAGATTAAAATTTACTCACGTTATGCAATGACAAGCAAGTTGTTCATTGACAAGGCTGAAGGTGTGGACTTGCATAGATGAGATACATTTTCAACTTTAACCACACAATATTCGCACTGCTTTTCGTTAAAATAGGAATCATATTTCGTTATAAATTGTATCATCTCTAGTGATTCCATTGTCAGTTAAATTAACAAACAGATGAAAACGTTTTACTGGATTTTTCAACATACACTCCTTGTGTTAATGGCAAGATGTATAAATGTAAATTAGGGTTCCAATGTACTGCACATTCAGGATTTACGAAGTCAGTGTTAACTAGAGTGGGATTAGTCTGGAGAAAACTAAGAATAACCACAAGGAAATACGGCACCAATTTATAAAGTTTCTCACCGACGACTTGAGTATTGCAGGTGAATGTTAACTTTCTGGTTAGGAGTACTCCAGTCAACTGAAGTTAAGTACTTTGGATAAAATGATGCAAAATCAGCTGTAGTGATCCAAATGCACTCTTTGTCTCTAACTAAGTCTTTGAAACATCCTTGTATGTCATGATTTCAATACATTTATCTGCTTTTTCCAACACATAGCCTATGGAATGAGACTGACTGGCAAAATCAACGCTGAACATCGCACACAGGTGCATCGGCTCAAGTTGCCACACTTCACAATAGTACACAAAGAACAGATGGATAGAAAAGAATAGACTATTGCGACTACCAATAACTTTTGCGTGTTTATGAGGACTTAGACTGGCTACGAATAAACAGAAGCCTCCAGACTTTATGATATACTCCAAACAGTCAATCGCCTTGAGAAGACGATGGTTATCTGAAATAAGTGATATATCAGTGCCATACATTTCGAACAATCTCATCACACATGAACATGTCAAGTAATTTATATTAAAGTTTAAGAACATTAATTAAGCCAGTTACATTTTTCAGGAAGACTAATGGTTTCAAATTATCGGTCGATTAGAAGGCTTGAGTTGGGTATGTGAAGGGATTAGGAGTATCTCCATAAAACTTGTAATTAATCTTTAACCTTCTGTGATATAGGTGAAAAAATGACGTAACGTTAACCGGTACTCATTTGTAAATAGTCTATGAGCCACAACTTTTGTATGAGAACTTGTGACACTAACCAGTTTTCCAGACCAAAGTAGGCAGAGGCGGGATTCGAACGCGGGACCCTTCCGTAATAAATTCCTATTATACCCTGGTATATCTCCTATCAACAAAGTATTTCGAATCATCTCTAACCTTTGCTTCTAAAATCAATCGAACCGGTTGTAAGGAAAGATGTCAACCGGTAACATCAGAAAATGATCTCACCACATCACAGATTGATAGAGGATGAAAAACGCAAACCACCGGATCCCAAATCAGCGGTAGATTGTTCACATTCTTAAGATAATGCCTTACGTGACCGCATCCTATCACAAGTATGAGCATCAGAGATGTGCACTAGTGATAGAGTGTGAAGCAACTGCAATCCAATGTTATCTGTTTTTCAAAAGTTTGCATTTCAGTGTCTACTTAATCTTATAATGCTAAGACTGGGATAAGTAAAGACAAATCACTTATCGTTAAAATAGCACGACAGCAGCAATGTCCGTAACTATATCATCGGATGTCATCCATTTTGGCCTGTGAAGTCAAGACATCAATTTGTCTGAATTCAGTGAAAACTCAACCATCCATCCATCCAGATTAATATAGGACTAGGCATTACTGCGTAACGGTCCAAGTTGCCACAGCTCACATCAATGCACCAAGTAAAAAGGCAGTGGACTAAAAGATGGAGATAAGAAAATTCAGTCAAAAGAAATATAAAGTACTAAAAGAGGGAAAGAATGAGAAAATAGTAAGATTCGGTATAGCGTCGTTAAGATGAGAATAACGTATGTATACATCTGCACCACTGACATCGGTTCTCAGCCATATCGCCTAGAGTAAGTCCCTAACCACTGGTTTCTCTTGTCCCGTGGACCCCAACAACCTAGTCTGCATTGCCCACATGGTTCAAACCAACAGTTAAAGACTTCATACATTGATGCTATGTTTTATTCTGGCCACCTTGGGCCTTTCTCCAGCATGAACCTACTTCGACCAACATTGTGTGATGAGGTAGACGGCGACTAGGCATTTAAAACACGTGTCCCAACCATCTTAGTCGATGAAGGTTCACAACCGTGTCAAGTGACTTACCTATTCTCCTTAAAACTCTACACCTGACTTGTGCATTACTCACTTGGTGACATCACGGTGTACGACCTACACTACGAAGACAATGGTGGTCAACCACCTGAATCCTTCTTATGTCTTCCAATTTCAATGGCCGTGTTTCACAGCCATACAGTAGAACAGAGCGGGCTGGTGTGCAGTATACGCAAACCTTAATAGAGAATCGGATATCACGGGCGGCGCCACAGGTGGCGTAAGTTGACGAAAGCCAACCGAGCAGAAAACTCGACAATATAGTAAAGATAAAAAACTGTCATCGAAACTAACTTTTTAAATGACTGAATATTTATGTCCAAAAATGTTATCGGGAGAACATCTGGCAGTTTTTCTGCTTCTGGAGGTTCAATGAGACTAGGTGAAACATTTTCTGCACCAGAAATATGCTCTTTTATGACTGCAGTAGATAAGAAACATTCAGAATCATCCTTCATATTTGCCTTTTCACACTTGATAGGATCGTTTTCCGAAATATCAAGCACCAAAGAATCGTGACTAAACAAAAAAAAATTGAATGAATCGGTAGGATGGAGAGGTTTATACATTATCAACAAAGTAATATGGGAAGGGCAAACTTCCAGCTAATAGTCAATGAAGTGAAGGTGACTGCTGAAATATATAGTAATTAACATCATGATACTTGGGAAGCAACTAGCTAACAAATGTATGCATACAGCGAATTTCGTGATTCTTAAAATCACCAGTAATCTTGAATGAAGTTCAGCATCACACTGTGTAGACAGATGATACCAGGCAGTTATTTCCAAAAAATTCAAACTGTGAGTAGACTCATCATGAGAATAAAGAAGTGTAGGCTACCTACTTAAACATAGAACATGCACCGCGACAAACCCTTGCAGGTAAACAATACTCACTCAGTGTAGTTTCTATAATGGTTTGTGAAGCTATGGCTAATTCATCGATTTCGATAGCTGATCTCCAGCTAGTAACTTACATATTAGAATCCTGCTCCCATTATCTCACATAACAGAACGTTTTGCTGATATGCCTCTACAAAAACAGACTGCTGAGACATAACATTGCAAATAAAACACTGAGTGTCTCTGTTACATAACAGAATTAGTAACAAATCAATGGCAGAATAAAATAGTGTACAATACAGACATGAAACTGCAATTTGACATCAGTCGACTGTCTACTAACCCATATTATCAAACTTGATTTACTGTTTAGCTATAAAGAGGTCAGATTTTAATTGTTACTTTGGTCACATTTTTGTGTACATATGACCGTTTTACTTAAATAGTTAATACAAGGGTAATACTTCAACACAGTGGCAAACTTTCATTATGGTTATTTTATTATGTTTAAAGGAGCTGTAGCTCACTGGCTTAAACAGCTGACTACCAGTTAGTAGGCCACGGGTTCGAGCCCCACTCTACGTACCGAGGTGTGAGCAGCCAGGTAGTATCACTAGCGTTCACAAGTGTGGCCAACTGCCTACTGTATGAAAGTACGCAAGGTTATTGAGCGCATTTCGATTCAGTTTTTTATTATACGTAAAGCACAGTGATACAGTATTATTTACTGGATGACGTTTCGAGCAGAATTTATTGCTTGTAATCACCTTGATGTGATGTGACTATGAACTGCGATACAGTCGAGCAGTGTACTTTCTGACTTACAACTCAATGATATACCTACATCTACATAACCGAATGATCTACCCATAGAATCTCCAGGATCTCGAAGAGTGAATTCTGCAGATTAACCACACTGGCCGAGTGAAGTTGAAAGAGTAACCAGATTTGGACCCTGTATGCGCGCTGTGACACAACACACACGAGATTCTAGAGTTCTAGCTAGTGACCAGCGAAACTTCTTTGTCGATTTGATGGAGGACAGGGGTATTGAAGGATCCGATTTGTAGTTTTCAGTGAGGTCTTAAGAGACCAGGGATTCTGTCCCGTGAACTCGAATCGTTATGAAGAGCTGCAGAACTAGAAGAGATTAAAGATATATGAAAACTGATCGGACGTGAAGAAAGACTAGAGAGTAAGGCTGTGGAGGGTTGATAATGATATGAGGGAGCTTGGGTGCTGATACTTGTGACGGAGGTTGGCGCATCACAGCAACCCACACGTTGGAAGGCTAGTTTTTCTTCAGGAATCTGAAAAAAAGATTAGATTACTAAACGTATTGTGCAAACACAGAGCCTAAGAGGAAGTAAATGCGAAAGTTGATTTTCTGAAGGATCTCATTAAGAATAGTGAGTATCCGAACTGGCTTTGGAGGGCTCTGGGTAGACACCATACACATTCTAACTCAAAATCACTGGAACATCAGACTAGAAATATCATTGATTCCATTCGTTCACGAATACTTGAATTAGGACGAAGCACATCATAGAGATCCTTCGCTCGATGTGATTTGTCACCTGATGAATACCGATTATTTAGTATGCTACATTTTGAAAAATAAAAAAGTTCAATCTGTTTAATCAAACATGAACAAAAGTCTTAAGCCCATCGCATTTCGACATAAATATCCTGTTGATCCCAATAAATTTGTTTTCAATCAGTCATCAGGTGTTTCATTGCAGTTACAACTCGAAGCCTTATCATTGAGAACGAGATTTTTCAACGTAAATCTAAATGTCAAAAAACTTCAGACTCGTGCAGTTTTAAAATCTAATCAATAAAACGACTGATATTATTCCAGTCTCAAACAGAGAACTCCAACCCTCTAAACCGACTATCTCTGATTGTTGTCACCAATACCTCAATACAGAAACAAAGGTTCCTTACCTTTTAACCAGGGAACATCAACAAAAACTGAAAGGGCTTAGGGACAACAAGAATAACGCGTTCAGACAAGGGTTCAGGTGTAGCTCTGATGAACAGAAACGTATATATTCAAAAGATGGCCGTGATTCCAGATAATAAATTCTCTAAGTTTGCCGGCAGGAAAAATAAAACCGAACCAACTGAACCACAACTTACAAATATCCTTAAAAGACTGATGAATGAACGACTAATCAAAGATCTTTATGAACGCCTCAAACCAACAGGACCATTAACTCTTCGACTTTACGGTTTATCCAAAGTTCACAAAGCTGCCACTTCGTCCAAATGTCGGGATCACCCTACCATCCCATTACAATATGACTCTCTGAAATCCTTTAGCCTGTAAGAAAACAGCTATCCTGCCGGTCTCTCTGTGACACTTTCGAATTCATAGACTGCATACGAAACTTAACTGGGAAAGGTAGGTTATCACTCAACACAGAATTTCTCTTCACATTCTAATATAGGAACTGGAACATTGGAATATCTACGTCATAACCAAAAGAACTGCTGCTTACATGGACGCTTAACGTTCAACTTTCCTTCAACGACGTCATCTACCATGAAATAAATGGAGCAGCAATGGTTTCTTCCCTTGGCCCTTTATTGGCAGATTGTGAAAGACTCAAAACTAACACCAATTTATTTTCTCAACTTATATGTACCGTTTTTGACTCTTATATCACTCGTTTTCTACCCATTTCTTCATTGCATATTACTATGAAGTACGGCAACTTGAACTAATGTATAGGTAGACCAGTTTTTTGCATTGATTTTTCTGTCCTGCTTATCTATCGTTTAAGATTACTCAAGTATGTATACTACAGTTTTGTTTAAGCTTATCTCAATAATATCATTCTGTGGCTCATAAGCTTGAGTACTTGACGTTCAACTTAGTCGGTCAAATCTTGCTCCTACTACTGAACTTTAAACAGTCAAGTAGAACCATACGAAAAGTGTGGCTCATGACATAGAGCACCGCAACTACAAAGAAATTTCAATACTTTCCATTTTCAACACGCATCTGTATAGCATTCATCAACCACTTGTAATTTGAAATCTGATCCTTAACTGGTTACAGGAAATAAACATCGTTACATGGGAATATCAATAGTTGATAATTTCATAGCATGATAATCACTTACTCTAATTGTTGACAAGCAACTGTATCCTCATCAAAGAGATTAGACATCTGGGAAAGCTTGAAGGAGGAAAAAAGCAACCGAAAATGGGAATATAATGATGGATAGGTTGACAAAAATGCCCCCATTTATACCATAATGCAGTAACATCTTCAATGATAATACAATATTTATATCCTAAAAGACTTATCAGTATCACACATGAATGAATAGACTAGTTTGGGTGGGTTACATCGTCGGATCCCATGATACTGGACACTACTGATCATTTTTCAACTTGGCAATCACAAAGTTCAAGTTCACATCAGAAAAACAGGACACTTCCTATATTTTAAATCACCACATAAATATGCCAAGTAACAATATAAAAGTTAAAGAAATGGAAATGATATGATTGAAAACCGTAGAAAACCGTAAGACAAGTTGAAGATAGGCAAGAGCATATGCTGAAATGTAGCACAGCAGCTGTGATGAAAACAAAGCGTGGACGCGTTGGCGCCAAGGCGATCTATTTTGAGCCATCTAGCTTGAAATCATTAGTTGTTGACTTTGCACATCTGATGGACGATACCTTACCTAAGAAGACCAATATTTTCTATATTGTTTAGATCAATAGTTAGAGAACTTATGGACTGATACCATGTTTTCAATACAGTTTATCAAAATGAAGCTATCTTTCTCTTTTCATAAAAAGCACGAAAATATACAAACATTTACAAAAACCATAATTTAATCAATACCTTAGTTATGCGAAAAAGAAGTGAAGACAATAGAAAACTTCTCAGTTTATGTGAAACGAAGCTTGACTGTGAAGAATGTTGTTTTACAAGCCTCAGGTACCACTTCAAGAATTCATGGTCATAACTAAGCAAATATGCGCAAATAAGGTTACCAAAATCAAACTTTATTTGAATATAAATGTAAACCTGGAACAAGAGCATAAGCCACATTTTTATTGGTCAAATGAAGTCCAACGAGAAATTCAACATCATCAGTAATCTACGACCAATCATAGTAGTGTAATGTATCATTATGAATATCTCAAGGTTTTGGCTATAAGGATGGACGAACATAGAATCGTTTACCGAAAATTGGCTCAAACACTCGAAATTCGACCAATCAGTCCCAGATTCAAGCATCGTGACGTCGAATTCGTCTTTAGCATCACACAATAAAATGGTCTCATAGCCTAGTACTCAGTTCCATATCTAGTTGAGCTATACTAATTTTTTTGAATTACTCAAAGAGAGAGAGTGGAAAGATATTGCCTTATTTTTACTAAGGTATCAATTTTTTAAAGAATAAGTGAAAGCAAAATAAAAATCTCAGATAAATATGTCTTTAACAAGACTATATGATCTAATAGTGGTTTGATAGGTCGGTGTCATTGATATCCACTGACGAACCGGGGGGTGAAAATGAAAACCTGGGTTGCAACCAGTAAATCCAGAGACTGTTGGTTAGAATCCTGCAGTGACTCCGATTTTTAAACATCACCCAGTATGAATATATGTTTGTTGGAGTACTGTAGTGATTTTCAGGGAAAAAATCCCAAAGAATTTCTCTGTAGCTCTTTATCTACACACTTACTTTTCATGCCTTTATTATTTACATCCCTGCCAACCACCCTTCACACATAACTGTAGACAAACAAAAATGACACTCCTTTTTTCTGGACAAAATAAGTTCTTTCATTTTTGTAAACTACAGCATACTGAGAATTTGCAGATCACACGAAAATTTGTGTAAGCTGGATTGTTATTTTTTAAGATGATGCAAATTACCTGCCTTGGATCCCATGAATCACAGGTTAGAACAAGGAGGACGTTACTATTGTTTCGACTGTAGACGGGTAAAGGTCAAAATTATATGCGAAATTAATCACATTAGAAAATACAAGCCACATGACCTAAACATGACAGTCTATCCAGTACAAACAGAATTAAACGAGGCCCTTCAATTGAATGGAGATCAAGTTCATTCATTATAGACAAATTATAAAAGAAAGGCTGCAGAGAACACATTTTCTGGCAGTTTTATTCACGCAGTTAAACAACATAATTTAAATATAAGAGACCACAACTCTATGGTAGAACATGTCAACATAGATTGCAAAACAAAAATTGGTAGTAGGTTGTGTTCGAGAAAAGAACAATATAGAACAGCATTACTGATAAGAATGAGATATAGCTAAGAAAAGCAATAAGAGTTGACACTCAGACAATATTCAGACAGACAGTCGGCATCACAGTGGAACCTGGCACTAATGCTTAAGAGTCCAAGTTGTCACACCTGAAATCACCAAGATGAAAGATAGAGAAATAAAGGAATTGGTCCCAAAGGTAGAAAGTTGTGAAAAGAAGGAATGACAATAGTGACAGGTGACAGCGGTCAAACAGTAAAGTGCAGAACATATTAGTTCCTATCCATGAATCTTACTGGTTAATTATCTTTAGTGAACACAAGTCTAAAAATAAAATTTTTTTCTACATGGGATGGCTGAATCTTTTCAGTGTCCCCCTGTGACTTTTTGTCAATGAATCATCGAGTAATGATATAGTGGAGTGAGATTCTCCTTTGAAGAATTGATAAAGGAGTGACAAATTCACTGAAACGCTGCAGTACTTCTTACAAACTAAAATTTTGCAGAGTTTAAACAGTTTGACGAATAGTTGTTTGATATTCGTAATTTCGCGTTGCTATACGAGATCGAATCGCTCTACCTCTGTATGTAGATGGTGTTGTTGAGTACCCAGCAGTATCGAGGTATCCGTTTAGAAGCCCATCTACCAACAGAGATCGAGCAATTGGACCCTGTATAGCAAGAGGAAATTACAAGTATCAAACAACAACAACTGATACCCATTGCACAAGAGATGGCCATTGTGCCCCAGTAGATAAGGTTTTGGCATTTGAAACGATATGTGCCGGGTTCAAGTCCCAACGGAAAACACCACTCCCTGGGATGCAGGCACATTCAGCTGACAAATCCCAAATAGAACGAAATCCAGGTCTTGGATTCTACTGCTAGCCACAAAGATGAATAGTTTTACGACTATGTTGAGTACACTTGTTCCTAAATTAAAAAGCTGGAAAGCTTTAAAGTTAAAAAAGGGGGAATAAGAGCAGTAAATAGAAAGGTCGCCTACAAATACACAATTCAACTTTTCATTGTCAGCTCTTCATACATGTAAATTAAATGCCTCCTGACATCTAAAAGATTCGGGAGCTGAGATGATATGACTATGGACAATAAATTATGTCCAAAACGTTATCCAATAAATAATACTGTTTCACTATGTGACATTTCTAATAAGCTAACTAAAATGGAATTAAAGATAATGATCTGCGCTAACAGTCAACCTAAAAAGTACCCCATTTCTATCTCACCCTGCTGCTGTTAGGCACTACTAAAGCTGATCTGTACATCAAAGATACATCTTAAGAGTAGGTATCTCATTGGTTTTCTGTCAGATGGAAGGACTCGGTTTTAGAGTAATAGTCCTGAGGTGTAATAATATTTTGACGACTAAACTATACCATTTAGATATTTTGTTTTTATTATCGCTACAACGAAAATGACACTTGTTAACACTCCACTTCTTCAGTAAAAGAATACCATTCCAAGCATTAAACATAGTGACAGGGATATGACGCTGTCATGACACAGTTTACTGTACTAAATATTGGAAGATTAACGTATTCTTAAAAGTAAGAGGGTAGAGTGGGAATCGGAATGATTGCAATAGGGGAAAAATGGATGATTTCTTAAGAAAAGGAGAAATGGAACTTTCCTGATATTCATTAGTTGAAAAGAACATAAAGTGTAACATCATTAACAACAACGATGGTATAATAAATTCACCTAAGCTGCATCAAGTCACTGAATCGCAAAACTGATGTTGCTATCAAAGGATCTAAGATAAATCCAGTTGTCAGAGTATAAATACAACTCATTAACAAAAGTATCATCCCTTGAAATATCGCAATGGAACACAACTAGAGTAAAGGGTTATTACCGAGCACCTAAGAATATGTGTTGAATACAGACAGTCGATGACAAGGCACTGAAATATTATCGATCAAAAAAATTTACTCAATCTTCTCTCTACTATTTCGTTATGACGATTAAAAATCTGATTTATCATTTGATACAATAGTTTAACAAAAAACGTCCAAGGTTTAATAATTAATACTTGGTTGTCGTTAACAGGACTGTCTTACCTATTTGATTACATGAAAGTAGTTCGTTCGTTCTGTCAGAATTCCTTCAACGTTGTTGCTTTCCAGTCAAAAATTACAACTTGTGTCTCCTTCAATGATGCACACACTCGCCTTCTCTGTTTCTAAAGACAGTTTTTACGGAGCTGTGGCTCATTGGTTTATGGAGATGACTTTCAACCGATGGGCCACGGGTTCGAAAACCGTTATCCCTAAAGAGGTTTAAGGAGTCAGGTAGTATCATTAGCCCTCATATACTAAGTTAAGCATGGTTTAATGCCTGTGAATGTGTACAAGTTTGCTGAATGGATTCCGATTTGGACAGACAGTTTCTAGTTAATATAGGAGTAAAATTTGGACACTGAAAGAGAATGCAATTCTATTTTCGTTGATTTATGAGATAGATCATACAGTGAAACAGTATCATTTACTGAATAACGTTTCGGACCCATCCAATTGTGTAGCTGTATGTAATTGCATGCATAACTATGTCCGAGCATATTTTCTTTATCGAATCAACACCAAACACATGCAACAAGAATGACTCAGCACCTGTTTCGGATATATGGAAAATCCTACTACCCGCCTATATCGTAAAGGCAGTGAGAGAATCAGAACTACATAAACTAAGTCTCAACTTTGTGGAGGTATCTTGATATGACGAATATCGACAATAAATTGTTTCCCGAACGTAATTCAGTAAATAATACTGTTCAGCTGTGTAATACACCTGATAAATCAACTAAAACGGAGTTTCTAGTTAAACATTTCACACAGACGTCAAGTCAGTTGATCAATTAGTCATGGGATAAAGGAAGAATATTAGATGTTTACATGCCGACCGATAATTTGTAACCAACATCGATAAAATTCGAACCAAAAGCACGTTCCTGGCATATAATTTCGAAAGATATATGAAGAAATAGAGGAAAATAAAATTGGGAGACTAGGATTTAGCAAAGGTTACTTACAGAAAAAGCAGAAATGTGTACTTGTTCAACCATGTAAATATTTGCAAGTGTGTCAGCCAACCAACACGAACGGATAGACTGCTGGTAAACACTCCTTGTTCTGGAGGATAGTGCACAGGAAGGTAGACAGTTTAAAATTTGACTGCACCTAGCAAAGTTAGATGTTGTCTTTGAGATACAGCTTTGATCAAATGGATGAACCACACTCGCCAAAGACACAGTGTTAAATACAGTGGTCAGATGATGGTATTGCTGTCAGAAATATCAGTGAAGACAGCAGTATCAGAAACGATGAACACACCTTTTGCTAGTAAGTTAGCAGTTATTTAATCAACACAGTGGAAGAAATCTATCAAATCTAGAGGTGATAGATGGCGACCTGAATTCAATATTGGTGAAGCGGAACTTCTTTGACTGGTAAAATTTGTTTGAAATTTTCAAATAATCTCATATATTAGGAAGGTATATTTTTAACCCAAAAGTTATCTGAAATCCATCCCTCCTCCGAATATGTAGTGACAGATACTCATGTGATTCGTATCAGTAAATGGGTCTTGTTTTGTAATTTCTCGTCATAGCTGTTTAAAAAAGGTGACCTGCTTAAAACTTCAGGCTGCTAAAACGTCTTCATCGTATCTGTTACTCTCTTTATACTTGTTTTAATTATTCAAATGTCAGTAAATCGTAAAGCATAATCTAACCCATTCTTAAAGTGTCTCTAATTTATTGTCACCTTACGGTAGATGACAGTACGCTCTTGAGTTCACAAATGTTCATCACAACGATTACAGAAATAGTTAGTAGGAACTGTAAGTTTTATACTAGCTGAATAATCTTCCATAACCAAACCATCGTGTGCATTTCTATTCGTCCCCCTGGGCAAGAACATACTAACAAACTAGATGATAACCTAAGATAAACTGGTCGTTGTGTATTATCGCTTATCATACTGTTATTATCAACACTAATTAAATGAGATGGTCATTTAGTTTAAAAGAGTTGGAAAAGGAGTAAATTTGTTGATATATCACACTGAGAAGTCCACCCTGTATCAAAAAATATTGACTGGAATAAAGTGGTTACTGTCATTGTCACTGTATAACACTTATACATCACAGTTCAAAGATATCATGAAAAGTGCCAATAAGGATCACAACTTAATCTCAATTAGTATCAAGACGTAATGATCTGTGAATTGAAAGATAAAAAGTAGTACACTGTAGGAAGTAGCGAATCAAACTTACACAGCAAAAAATATGCAGACATAAAGTGGTGAACACAGCTGAATCATTCTTGATTTTACTAAGATAAGGCCAGTGAACAGGAAAGTGAGTATGATTTGTATCGATAATGTCGGGCTGATGTAGTGGGGTGGGGGAGAGACTAAAGGTAGATTAGAGAGATTATTTCGTAAAAGTGAAGAAGTTGTGTTCATTGACGATGGGTAGATGAGGATGCCAGGTACGTATTTAAAGAGGATTAAGCTAAGCATTCATCTGAACATGACAGCAATGCCCATTTTGTGGAAACCTGCCATGATATTAAGTCTGCTATAGAAACAGTGGTAACTACAGTTGGTAACCTACACCCAAAGGTTGGCGAACGTGATTGCATTTCCACGACATCACCCGAACTGATTTATGCGAGAAAACTGATTCCAACTAGCTGGTTCTGACCACGATGAAGAGAGGAAGTAACTCAAATGTCAGTCTTCGCATCGATCGTGAGCAGTGGTGGGCAGCGAGAAGGAGAGAAATTTAAATCGCATAGGCATCTTTGATTTGATAAGAAAAACTAAAAAAGGAAGTACAAGAAGGGTGAATAAGTCTTCAGAATTATCAAGATGATAAAGAGTGAATACTACGCTCCTTTCAGTAACTTAAATCATATCACTTGAAATTATCGGTCATCGATTTCTAGCCTTTTGAAAACTTAAGGAGATGGTTTAACATCCTACTTGTTAACAACACGAACAGATACCGTGTATCCGTTTACTGCTTTCTGGCTTTCAATGGTTCTCTAGTTGATGCTGTGATGAGTACCTTGAGAATGAATAAATTTCAGTAGCTTTAAGAAATATGAATTTGATTAATATTTTGAATACTTACTGTATGTATGCTGAAGGCTCAGCACACAAAAATACACCGAAAAAGAGTAAGAGGTAGAAGACAATGATTACCAAAACTTGATCCACCACCACCTACACAGTTTTTAAGACTGAAGCATTCAAATTTAAGATTATCAACTTGATGGTTCAATTACCGTTGTGAAGCATCAAAAACAACTGTTGAGGTTATTTTCTCACCACTTTATCTACACTCAACAATGAAAATGATGCAACATGGAAATTTTTGTGAATAAATCTGTGGTACACACAGAGAAAGAAAATGAAAATGAGACACACACACACACACACACACAAGATATGCACAATACATGTTTTTCAGTACAGCACTTACTTTGGTCAGTTCATTTTCATTTGTATTCAGAGATGAATCAATTTTCGATGCATTATCATCATTATTATTACTGTTGGCACCATCGACATTACCGTCATCAACTGTTTGCTGATGATGAACTGGTGACTTCGCGGAAGACGATGATTGTAAGATAGATGTAATCAAATCCGACATGACTAAAAGTGATAGATGAGTAAATAGATTACATACACATCAGAATGTGGATGAATCCATAGATGATAACATTATATTGATAAGCGTTCGCAAGAGCAAATGAATCATCATGGGAAGAGTAATGATTCTATTGGTCGCATCTCTGAGAAGCATAAAATGAAGCAGAACTCAAATAACATGGCTTGAAACGATAAAAATTAGGAATCTAACCACATCTACCGGGAAATTAAAATCCATACAGGAATACTGTGCACATTTTTACACTATGTAATGAGCCGTATCTATTGTGTGACGGGTAGTAATACTATCAGGTTGCTTAAACCTCGGTAGTTAGAGCTGAGTTCGAACTCGTGAGAATGTGCTACAGTTTCACTGGTGAAACTTAATGATTATCACTCTATAAATGGTAGACAATGGGATGAATAAAAATTTCGCAGGTAGATTTAATTTTTTTAAAATAAAAACCATGTATACTATCAATGCTATGCTTGATTTAATTGTTAGTGGCGTTTTATTTAAACAAAGATTGTAAACCAAAGTGCAGACAAGTGACTAACTTTAATTCCTATGTCTAAAGTGAGTGATAACTCGCACAAAGTCTGAAGTGTTATGTGCAACCAAGGAAGGGTGAAATAAACACCAAGGGTTTTCGAATACTCGCCTAGAACAAATAGGGAAACTTGTGCTTCTGCACAACTTATAATGAAAATGAAAAAATTATGAGTTCCTTGTATGACAGGACTATATATACCACTATACTTACTATGTGCTGATATACAGATCAATGGTCATCAAAACGATACCAGATTGTACAGACTTTGTCTATTAGTTGGACGTCCTCCAAAGACGCAAACAGTCTCACTGGGCATTTTCATGGCAGCCAGACCATATCTATACTTTATGAAGGATCAGTCGATTATTTTGAATTCAGCTACGGTCGATATTTAGCTTTAATCCCAGATACAATCTATTTGTCTACGCCAACCTGTTCAGGAGATGAAATACATGATCACCAAAACGTAAGATGAACACAGTGCACACTAAAGTATTATCGGAGTTTAGAAGTACTCTAGCAGCAGTGAAATTTCTAGTGATTGATTACGGTATGATCCACCTGAGTTCATGTTCCAGTAGTAGAGGGGAGATGTCAGATAACATATTGGCTTTAAGTGTATTAGAGGTTAATGCTGGCTAGAAACAGATCATGATTTTCACAAAGTTGCAAATGATTGGTATTATTACACCTGCAATCGACTAATCGTTATCCACTACGTAAACTCTCCTCAGGACTTAGGTGATCAGTCTATGCATTCAAATTCCGAATAGCCCTAGAGTACTCGTCATTTTCAGTTGGTAGATATTACTTAGTCGACGGTAGAGTTTATGAAAAGAAAACGAATACAATGAAGTGACCCTATGAAAAACCTCTCGAGTTTGACCCCGTCACACTAAAATATGTGCTCACTAGTGTGAATAACTAGAATCGATAATCCCCACCATTACAGTGGAGTAACCTATTGTTTGAAAAAAAAGTGAAACATGTAACTCACCTGAATCAGACCGATGAGGTACTTCAAATCGGATAGTGCCATTCAAGAGGTTTCTACAGAAAAAAGATACAAAATATATACAGTATAACACGGCTACATTATCGTTTTTATCTTAATAACTTTAAGAATTAAGCTTATCCACCATACAACCCGATTGACTAAATGAACATAATTAGGTAACCCAACAACCGCATATACCACGCTCAATATGTGAAGACCGATGACATTGATACTGGGTGATGATTGAAGGCAAAATGAAAAACCTGGGTCGCGACAGGATTCAAACCACCGGCCACCAGGTTACCGACTGAGCTACTAGAACTAGATAATGACCAGGTCTTAACTTTCTTGCAATTACCAAGAGGTCTTACGCAGCCGTCATGTGAATTCACTGGATTTGGATTGGGAAGACCTGTCTGAGCAGCCATGACCATTGTAGGTAGAGGATATGAGAAGGCCTCAGGTGTTTGACCACCGTTGTCCTCGTAGCATAGGCCGTGTCTCATGGTGCCACCAAGTCACAGTAAAGTAGAATTCACACACTGCGTTTTACAGAAAAGAGGGAAGTGATTCGATGAAGCGAATACTCATTAAATGAGGTGGCTGGGATATGTGTTACGTATACCTCTTCAAAATCTACCCCGTTGCACAATGTTAGGCTAGAAAAAGGCTAGAGGCTGGTAAACTAGATGTTAGCATTAGTTCATTAAGTTGTTGACCGTCTGTCTGAGTTGCATAAAGAAATATAGACTTCTAGATCGGAGTCAACGTGATAACATAAACCAGTGGTTGATATTGTTCAGAATCGATCTCTGTGGCGCAGATTCATCCGCAAATTATCTTCATCATGATCACCATACTGAATTTCCCCTGAATTCCCCTTCCACCCAACTAAGTTGGTTTTTTATACTGTCGCTCTATCTCACCCTATTGTGTGATTGTGCGTAACTCCATTCAGAGCTACAGCCGAACCTTTTCCCAAATTTTCTACCTTATAAGGATCTAATAATCTTGATTTAGCTAATTTTTTGTGCTCCGTTATTCTAATTGATCCTGGTCGACTATTTTGACCAATGTATTTAACCTTACAATCACTGCAAAGGATTCAGTAAACTAAATTAATTGGACCTACAGGATCTTTTAGCCTACAAAGTTTGTTTCTACGACAGTTTTTTTGGTTTAAGTGCCACTCTAATCCCAGCCTCATTGAGAAGTCTTCGTAATGTTTCAGATGTGTCTTCTTTGCATGATAACACAGTAGAGGCTTTGAATTCTCTCTTCAACCTATCACCATTATCAGCAGAAGCAGATTTACTGTTATAAATACCTACTGATCATATATCTGTTTCGATTTCTTATGAGTTGGTCGAAAAATTTAGGTGGGTAATTATCGAGAGCCAAGGAATTCTTGAAGTGTCTAATTTTCTGTCGCAAATTTTCGGTCCTACTAGTAAGCCTATTACTGAGGCATTTAAAACTAAGGTAGGTGGAGGGAGAGATTGATAATCAAATCCTTGTTTATCGAGTCAACGTCAAATATGTGCAATCTAAATGATTCTGCACCTGTCCAGATATATAGAAAATCTTACTACTCTTGTAACAAAGAAGGAGAGATTAGAACTATATAAACAATGTCTCAAAGTTGTGGATGTATCTTAATATGACGGCTATGGACAATAAATTATGTCCGAAAAGTCATTCAGTAAATGATACTGTCTCTCTACGTGACATTTTTAATAAATAGACTAAAATGGAATAAAGTCAAACAGAATTCTCAACAGCTGCGTCCTAATTAACCAACTTATTAGAAACATGAATATAAATTCTGTCTATCATATCTACTACAAATGTATCACAATCTGTACTGTAAAAGTAACAATGTATGAGTACATGATAATGATTCCCAGTTAGTTTCTTAACTCGTGATTTCTATTCTACTATTAAAAGAAATTAAATACTCAACATTGATGGAAATCAACAACACAGCTATTGAAAAACAAAGAGCGGCAGGAGTGAGAAGCCGCAACCGAATAAGAGATCTGACCAAGGATGCCAGATCTCACGACCAGTGTGTCACAGTTCAGTAGAACAAGCTGTTATTCAAGTTAATTCAAATTGTAGCGCGAATACCACTCACTACTATGTGACTAACTGTTTACAAAACCTGCTTTATCAACAACATAGGCTACTTGAGAAAGTTCAACCAGAAGGGAGTCTTGGAGTTCGATCCCAAGCGGTGACGATAGTGCTCAATGTTGTCACATCACCAATAAAAATAAAAAAGCTATCCAGTGCTTTTTGATTTTCAGTAGTTGCCCAGCTGGTTTCTATCCGTAATGAAGACTACTTTGAAGCATCTATATATACTCCCCTACTTCTCACAGTAAGAGCTGTTGCTGTGCACAAACCAAATCTTTGTATTCAGAAGAAATCTGTGCGACATTCGCCATTACTTCGACCAACCATCAAGATAAATTAACATCTAATTTCAATTTATTTCATTATTTTTCCCCACCTGATAGAATAAAGTAATCTACAGCGCACCCTTTCTCACAGACTTTACTGTGTAATTGGTTTATACCTTAGCTATTGTTTTAATTACGTTAATTATCAGCCGCTTGATACTTTGAAATTGATAATCTGTGCTTAACTAACATCGTTAGACTGGCGTCGGAATCAAAATCCACTCAGCAAGCTTGTGCACGTTTGTGCAGTGGGTAATGGGCCACTCCACACCTATTGTGTGACGGCTAGTGATATTGCCTGGCTGTCCAAACCTCGGTAGGAGGAGTGGTGTTCGGACCTGCGACCCACTGTTCGAGTGTCATCGCCCTAAACAAATGACCCGCAACTCAACTAGACTGGTGTATGATTTTGTAGTTCGACAATGTTATGTATATTAGTGTAAAACCATAGATGAGTCCCTAATTGCAGAGAAATATTTATTTCTCCACTCAAATTATTTACTTTCGATATAATATTAGTGTGGAGCCGATGACGAAAACGCAATTAGAAAGGAAATATTTCTTCATCTAATCCGTTTTTCGTTTAAAATATTCAAATAGAATTTGTCACAGAAATTAAAAACAGTGTTTTTAAATAAAATTAATCAATGAACAAAAGACTCCAGGATGCGCGTTTCGTCCTATTTGGGACTCGTCAGCTGGATGTACCTGCGATGGGTAAGAGGTTCGAGTCTCAGTGGGAACAACACCACTCACTAGGATGCAGGCACATTCAGCTGACAAGTCCCAAATGGGACGAAACGCGCATCCTGGATTCTTCTGCTAGCCACAACCAACGAAATTATCATAATAAACATTCAGGCAATATCAAGGCATCCGCATAGGAGCTCATATGCCAATAGAGGTCGAACAATTCGATCCAACAAAAACAACGGAGAATAACAGGTATGTCAATAAATAGTAATTAATGATCAAAAGGTTAGAAGAGTCAAAAGCCTAACAATAATGGATAAAGCAAGAAGAAGAAAACGATGAGCCATGAGAATGTCTGTGAAGAGTATAATAGTAACGTGTCGACTGCAGAACCTGGAGGCTCTGGGTTCCATCCTTGGTGGGATCATGGGTGCGCACTGCTAAGAAGCACCATGCTGGGATGAAACAGCTGTCCAGTGTTTCCTGATTTTCAATGCTTCTCCAACTGATGTCAATCGATGACGAATACTAACTTGAAAACAAGTTCAACCAACTTTACATGATAATCAGATTAATCAACCTAATAAATACCACATAAACTTGATAAATTTACCATTAATATTGATATGACACAAGAAGTTATCTTTCTACACATCGGAAATGTATATCACGATAAAAAGCAGTAACGCCTACCGATTGTGAATAATATGAATGTCCAAACATATTTGATCCATCAACACTTTCTGAAGACCATTTCTTCCTTTCAAAGGAGAACCTATTAATTTAATTATATCAGAAGAATAGGGATAGTTGAGAAGATACCGATTTTAAGAGTAATTAGGCATCTTGTTTACACAGCATAAAAGCGAAGAAAGTCACAATTTCTAATTGATACACTTTTTTTAAGAAGATGGTTAGTCTGCAAGCAAGTTTACTACGAGTACTAAGACTTTAGGAAGCACTATACAGATACTTCATTCGCCAAAGCACACACATGATGAACCTACTATTAAACGGGAACTGTATGTCTTAGTAGACACCATCCAGTTTAAAACCCCTTTGTAAAAGTACAATGTGTTAATTTACTTCACTAGTAGAATTTACGTTATGTAGGTGTTTCCTTGAACATATTTTGTAGTAAAATTTATTTATATGTTTGTAATCCCTATGAAATAAAAAACGTCACAGTTTTCAGTATAGACAGAAGTTTGTAAAATAAACTATAGAATGTGATCATTAAGCGAAATGACGCAACATTGACATACACTGTAAGTGAAAGTGATTTGTAAAAGCCTATCGTTGATTATAGAAGAGAAGGAGTGTAAGATTCGTAAAAATAAAAAATATTAATAACATAACATTCAATAAAACAAACTAAAATGGTACTTTCGTACAGTTCTTTCCCTTTACAAATTTGAATAGAGCAAGAACAACAGCTTTAGCAGAATAGCATGGATCTATTTTATGTCGTGGTTTCTCATTCGCTGCAACAATTTTAAACATCAATCTATACATGCAATATCGGGGTATCCGCATAGAAGCGCATATGCCAATAGACGTCGAACGATTCGATCCAGTAAAACAACAGAGAACTGCAAGCATATCAACAAATAGTAATAATCTATACAAAATGTTTGCATACTCGAATCAGTTTGATAGAAAACTATGCAGAACAAACTAACAGACCTAAGTTTGCCAACATATAGAAGGATTAGAAGAATATTCCTGAGTGGAAGTTCAGATTAGTAGGTGAGACAGGTGTATTCAACACGTTAAGAAAGGTCATACAAAATGTCAACTAGGCTCTAATGTGAGTAAAATTCAGATGATTAGGTCAAAGGTGTGAAATGTAAAATAATAACAAAAAACCCAACTTTATTTGGTTGTGGCTGGGAGAGAAATCCAAGTCGTGGGTTCGTCCTACTTAGGGATCGTCAGCCAGATGTACCCGCATCCCAGTGATGTTTTTTACACTGAGGCTCGAACCTCGCACTCGATGTACAAGAGGTGGCTGTCGTGCTTCAGTGGTCTAGTAGGTAATGCTTTGACGTTTGAAGTGAAGGGTACGAGGTTCGAGTCTCAGTGGGAACAACACCACTCACTAGAATGCAGGCACATTCAGCTGACGAGTCCCAAATAGGACGAAACGCGCGTCCTGCTAGTCACAACCAAGTAAATTATCATAGTAAGTATTCAGGCAATATCGAGGCATCCGCATAGGAGCCCATATGCCAACAGAGGTCGAACTATTCTATTCAGTAAAACAACGGAGAATCACAAATGGTAAAAAAAAAACCAACTTTTACAAATTGACAATGATGTATGAAAAGCATGATGATTGTCAACAAAACAATTCTTTACCATAATAGGTAAAGATTGATAACTGTTTTTTTGCAAAAACATAAGTTTAGTTTCCATGGTTTAATGGGTAACGCTTCAGTGAAACGCAGGAAAATCGAATTTATCTGTATAAATTGATGTTAAAATTGTTTTGGGTTTCAAGCATATGATGAGGAACCATGAAATAAGATGGATCCACACTATTCTGCTAAAGCTGCTGTTCTTACTCTATTTAAAATGGTACTGTCATTCTACTTCACCAAAACAAAACCATTAGAAACCTAATGGTGGCTGACCAAGACATGGAACCAGACAATGAAATATTTGACTTCATGGTCCTAATTCCTGTAGACTGTCTGGTTGCGGTCGTCGAGATAATAGGAGTCAAGAGTTAGACACCCTGAATGAAAAAGTTGAAAAGTGGTCATAATGGTGCAGACGTATTTACGTCTTCGAAGGTCTGGACACCTTCATAAGCCATTCACTTTATCCCTAACCACCCACAGATATTTCATATCATTCCTTTTCTGTTTCCTTCTTCTTTACTTTCTGTTTGCTGTAAAGCGTGAAAACTTGAACTGATTAGTTTCTGAGCAAGGTTCTGTGTTGATCTTTTTTGTCTTACTTCCAGAAAAAGTAACCGGGTTTATATGCCTAGTTGTTTAGATAAAAGTATATAAAATTGAGCAGTCTCTTATCTAGTTGTTAGACTGAGTACTTCTTTACCTCAACAGAATTTAACCCACTGAATGTTGAGAATGAGATGCAAAATTATTCAAACTTTAGCAAGGAAGTTTCTTTACCGGGTATCTTTTACAGGTGGATAAACCAATTTGATTTGGAATCAAACAATCACAGTAAGTTTAGCTTAGTCAATCAGTGTGTAGTGTGCACTCAAAATTACTGACTGATTCATGGTAATTGGTATCCGATAAATTAGAATTCAATGTTTAAATTCTAACTAAATCTTTACTTCAATCTGTCAAATTTGGTGTCTTTGAATAAACTGATTGGAAATAAGCAACACAAGTGAAAAGAAAACAACAAGAACAACACAGTTACAACTCACTAACCGACATCAACTTTAGCTTTTCTTGAGAAAGGACCCAAAGCGAACAGTAAACACGGTGTTGTAAGCAGAAATTCACCAATTGAGATAAAACACACTTCTCTAGATTGGGATGCTGGTGATGATGATAGTATAATTGCATTGTCTCGTTCAAATAAATCTTTCAAGGCATTTACAGTACTGCCAATTTCAAGCGTATAAAGTACCTGATTCAATTTTTTACAAAAAAGTGCGGTCATAAGTAAATTAAACCAATAAAACAAAATTCAGCTTACGATGAAATATAAGCAGATCACTGAGATTAGTGCCCTAGTCTCAATCAAATCAATATAGGATCAGGTATTACTGCACAACGGTTCAAGGACCCACACTTCATATCATCACAACAAGTAACAAAGTAGTAGGATGAAAGTTGAAGGAAGAAATAAAGACCGGTCAAAAACAGTAAAAGAGAGGAAGGGAGAATTAGAAAATGCTGAATTCAGCATAGCCGTTAAGATAAAGATAAAGTGTGCATGCATCTCCACCACTGATATCAATCCTGATCCATATCACCTACAACCTCCAACCACTGGTTTCTGTTGTCGCGTGGACTATATCAGGTAGGTCTACATTTCCCTATATGGCTGAGACAAGCAGTCATAGACTTCATGGACTGATGGCATGTTTTGGTCTCTCCGCTGTGAGCCTTTTTCCAACCAGAAAATACTTCTGCCAACATTGTGCAACGAGGCGGATGGTGACTAGTGCATGCGTAACACATCCCAGCCATCTCAATCGATGAAGGTTCACGAACCTATCAAAAACTATACACCTGACTTCTGAGTTACTCACGTGGTAAAACCACAACAAATGCAACGGAAGGCAACGGTGGTCACACATTAAAAGCCTTCACATGCCTTCTACCCTTAATGACCATGTTTCACAAGCATACAGTAGAACGGAGAAAGCTGCAGCACAGCACACTCAACCACTAATAAGCAATCGAGTTGCAGCGACTAGAGTCATATAATTGGATAGGATGACGTTTATCGACAGCAGTTCCAACGAGTATAACACACCCTAGTATAAAGAAGGGGAGATGAGTTTAAAATAGGCATTTACCCACATCTGACAAAAGAGACTGCATAGGTACCTTCGTAAAGACTTGTATAGCATAATTGCAAATGATCTCTCGACCTATGAAGCTTAACACTCACATTTAGGTGGTTGAGAAATTTTTAAGCATACTCATCTGTCGTCTACTTCAACGCACAGTGTCTTCCCCACCTCGTCGACATGTCATAAATCAATAGATAGAGATCGGTGGTGAAATGGTTTACCACAGACTGCAGTGGTATAGATGCATTCATCCTCTATCAACTTGATTATTATGAGCGTCTTCAGTATCCTTCGTTTATTTATAATCTCTCTTAATATATCTTTTTGCATTTTAATACCATACTGTTTTGTTTACCCCCCGTCTCTCTGATGTTGTAGAGAAGTGTGGCAACATGAAGTGATACACTTTCATGGGAGATGGTCTGCTTGTCTACGCATATAGATAACCGCGTACTCCTAAGTGCAATTTTGATTAGACTAGAAAAAAGCTAAGTGACTACAAAAGGATATGAACGCATTTGATGAACTTATTTATTGCTAAAAAAATTTAGACTTGGTGGTTTGGGTTACAGGAGAACCGGAGGTTTAAAGTGCAATGAATTTTAAAAATATTTCAATTTTTAAAATGTATCGGTGCCTAGTCTTAACATAACTCCTTCGCGACCTTATAACTACATAACTATATTCTTCATGTTATCTTTCCGTTTAATCTCAAAATTTTCTTCACCACTGTGAACAAAATTATTTTCACTGATCATCTTCTTCAACCAACTTTCTCTCTGTTGACGTTGAATGTAGCAAATGGAAGCGATAATCAATTATCCTATAGCTATGCATGCGACTCTACACAATTACACAATAGGATGGGATAAAGTGAAATTCCTTGAAACTAACCCAGTGGGATGGAAGGAGAGATTGATAACCGGATTCTTGTTTATCGTATCAACACCAAACACATTCAACAAGAATGACTCAGCACCTATTCCAGATATCAGGAAAATCCTACTACCTATATCAAAAAGGAGGCGAAAGAATTAGAACTATGTTAAAACCATGTCTCAAAGTTGTGGAGGTATCTTGACATGACGACTATGGACAAGAAATTGTGTCCGAAAAGTTATTCATTAAATGATACTGTTTCACTGTGTGATACACCCAATAAATCAACTAGAATGGAATTACATTCTACCAGTGCAGAAGTCTTACTCTTATACTGATTATCTGTTAATTTACCCACCGAAAACCTAATCAACCTACCGTAGCTACCATCATTCTTCGAGAAACGTAAATGATAGACAAGTGTAGAACCTACTTTAAAGTTGAGATTGACCAACTAGTTCACCGACCTACTTTCATTACTTACTACCATAAACACCACTCTATTGTTTGCGAAACGGTTCTGTCGGTTAAAGCTCATACTTTGAAAATGGTGGCAATCAACTATGAACAAAAACAACAACATTTTCCACGATCATTACTTGACCGTATATGGCAATGAATTATCAGTTGAGTTCCAGATTTAAAAAACATATTTCGACATAATTCCGTACAGCTTCTGTCATTAAAGTGAAGTAATCAACAGGTTAAGGTTAGACATTCATTGGTGGAATTACTTGCAAGCTCTATCAGTCATTCCATAACATGCCTCACCCCGAAAGTATAAAACCAACAACAAACACAGAGACATATGGATTTGAAGTACTCAGAAAAGCATCAAGTCACTACCCAGCCATAACAACTACAGTTATACACAATATCCCATCAACAGCAACAGTAACAATGAGAATACAAAGTCAGATCAGATAAACTGTATTATAGATAAGGCATTTTGATGTTTCTAACGAAGAAATGGTTTTCTAAGGACACTTTGTCAACAATTATGTTGTTGATCAACTGAATCGAATCACTATTCATTTGGGAATAGATGGTAGAATCAATAAAAATAAATCAAAAAGTAGCAGGAAAGCAAAATGTAAAGGATTTATCTTCCACCCGTAATGATGCACAACTTGAAAAAGAAGAGAATCTATCAATCATACATTCGATAAATAGAGGATTTTAAATTCTCAAAGAGATAATCATTATTTTACTTTTTGTGTTCAGTTTTCGTTGCTTTTGCGAAGATCATTACTACTTTATGAAAATGAATCTTCATCAACGGTGGAGTAGGATGAGAAATACGGATACCCATCATGCATACCCTCCTCCTCCTGCTGTAAAATATTACCATTATTCATTTCGTTTAATTTGTCTTTAAATTGATTATGACTAGAGGTAAGTTGACTTTGATCACCTTCAAAACTGTCTACAACATTACCACCGTTATTATCAGTTTCATGCTGTTTATGTATTCTTTCACAAGCCTCATTATTTGTGAAGACTGAATTTTCTTCAGTTATCAAATTATTTTTTAAAGTTATATTTGAACATGTTCCACTCAATGAATCTAAATAATTCATTGAATTTGTTGGCCAAGAAACTCTTTGTGAGTAAACAACATTTGTTTGTTTCCCTGAACTAATCATTGTAGGTACGCTTTTTGATTCTAAATTGGTAGACTTTGATTACACTGTGAAGATAATAATAGAAATGGATGTTTGATAACTGATTTATTAGAATCCACTATTGAACAACTTTGATTCCTCGAATTATTTCCAATTTCCTTATTGACAAAATTATCGGTTTTTATATTAACTTCTTGTCGAGAATCATCTAAAAATGAATTTGCAACATAAGATGTTCTTTTATGTTCATCACTACCAGAAACACAGTTTTCCTGACTAGAAGATCCCATTTGACTAGGTATCACTTGTCGTCTTCTCTGTTGAATAGTAGGACGTTTTTCATAGAATGTCTACGAATGCTACTGATTGATGAATTCTGACCCTTTTGCGTGCAATTACAGATGCTCTTCGAGATGGACATGTCCGTCTTCGATATACTAGAGATTTTGTTCTCCTCCGATCAGTAAACCGAGTTGATATCCTGCTAGCATTGTTCGACATGTCCACAGCAGACAAGCCTTCAGTGTATGATCGAATACGAGTATTACGCGTAGATGATATCGGCATAGTTGAACCTAGCCTACTAGTTGCAATATCACCCATCATATTGGTGGAGTGATTACAATTTGACGAAATCAATCCAACTTCAGGATTACTAAGTCTATTGGAATCATAATATTGTCGATCTGATGCCCGACGTTGATACTGTCCTCCACGAACACTTCGAGAGTCAACACGTCTTGAACGAGTCATTTCTTACTATTTTTGGTTTACTCCTTCAAGTTATCTACTGGTATATTGTAAATAGACATACAACAACTAACAAATTCAAAGTAAATAGATCGATATTTCATATGATCGATGAAGATAAGCAGGCAGTCTGATATTTATGGACATTAGTTCACCAGTTGCACTAGATGATCAAAAAATGTTAGATTTCTTTCTTCTACATGAGTACACAAACGCCTACCGCAAAAAATCTATATGAAATGTATTATGGAGTGTAAATAATTGTACACCTCATATAAAACTACTTCTATCAACAGACCTAAATTCAAATCAATTGGTTAGATTCAAAATGTGAATTGAAAAAATCCACTTATAATAGATACATTTCTCTAGTTCTCAAGACTGAAGAAATTGATGCTGAAATAGCTTGGGGAAAGTTGATCATCACGATAGGTGGTAGAAGAAATATTATTTTATTCAGAGTGAAGGTTAGGCTCTGCAGTACAGATGTTTGACTTGTTTATATAGGGAGTCGCTGACTTCAACCTTCTTTGAGAGTAGACGACACATTGTGCTTTGGTATAAACGATGACTAGGTATGTGTAACACATGTCCCAGCCACGTCAATCGGCGGAGGTATACAATCACACTAACTGATCTAACTTCTTCGCCAAGAACGTCAACATACTTCAAATACATCAACTATCACGAAGTTGTAACCTTCTTGTGTCCTCCACCTCCTTCAGTGGCAATATCTTTAGTCATGAAACAGGACAGAATAAACCACTGTTCAGTGTAAATGCTGGCTAATCTCACTAACGCTACAGGATGTTTAACTAGGTAAAAGTCAGATAAGCCTTCCATATCGTAAC